TCAGGGAGGGTTGGGATTCTTCCCAAATCCCAGCCTGGGGGGTTGGAGCAGGAAGGGGCAGGTTGGGCAGGAGTAGGGAGGAAATTCAGCATCACTTCTCTGAGTTCTTGGTGATGCTCTGACCCTGGGCTGAGTCACAGCATCTGGAGCGGGGTTTAGGCTGGGCTTTGCTGTTCCCTACACAGAGATCTGGGGTTTGGCTGGGCACTGACCACAGGCAGCTCTTCTTCCCCTATCTCCTGCTGGCCTTATCAGCTGCACCAGACCCTGCTCTGCTGGACCTGTCCCTGTCCTGCTGAGCCTCGTCCTTATCTTTAGATCAGGGTGCCTCCTTCACCCCACCCCCCCCCACGTTTGTAAATCCCCTCCTTTGCACATCTTGTGCAAACTGGTCCCAGTTCCCCCCCTGGCTCAGTCACCCTGGGGCTGTTCAGGCACTGTCTGGGAAAACTTGGAAAAGGGTTTGGAAAAGCTGGGTTTGGGAGGGTATTTTAAGGGTATTTGGAGGGGGTTTTAAGGGTAGCGGAGGTTTTTTATGAAACACTTGGGATTTTCAGGCCCATCCACATCCCTGTTGTTGGAAGGGACAGAGCCTGAGGATCAGCACCTCAGGAGCTCTGGGTGCAGAGGAAATTGCACAGGACAATATTTTGGTGCCTGTTGGATTTCCAGGGCTGGAGATGTGCATGACCATGGAACTCCTGGCCTGATTCAACCAATGGGGCTGAAGGCCTCAAAATGTCAGTGAGGTCCATCCATCGTTCCACAGCAGGGTCAGGCTGGGAGCGAGCTGGGGAAATGGTCTGGAGACACCCCCTGAACATCCCCAGGTGACCTCAGCCTCCTGTGTCCCCTCAGCTGCAGCTCCATCCTTTGGCTTGCAAAAGGACAAAGCAGATTTTGCAATTTGGGATGCAAAAAGCTGGGAGTTGCTGTCTAAATTCCTTATTCCCCCCAAAATCCTTATCCATGTGCAGTAATTCACAGCAAGGTGAATTATGGGATGAAGGGATTACCTGGGATATTCTGGGCACGGGACACTCAGATTTATAGAGCTGACTTCCAACTTTGATGTTTCTCTTATCACATCTTATAAATTCCTGTCCCTGTTGCAGAAAACAAAGAGAAACAGAGAGATTTCTCCAGGAACCTGACAAAATGCAGCTGCAGAGGTGTGACCAAGTTGTTCATCCCAGGCCAGGTTTGTGGTCTCAGTTCTCCTGAAGACCACAAGCTCTCATTTCTCACAGCTTTACTCAGACCTGGAGAGTGTTAAAACATCAGAGGGAGCAGAGCAGTTTTGGCAACTCCCTGACCTCAAAACTGCTCAGAGAGCAGCAGCACTCTGGGGTGAAGTGAGCTGGCCTGGTTCTGATTTTTGTTCTTTTCAGGAAAAATCTTCACAGCTGGGAGGTGTTTGGGCTGGGTGGGGCAAAGGAACAACTAAAAAGTGTTCCCAGCTCAACCTCGGTCCCCAAACCTCTCACATTGTGGCCCAAGTGTCTCCATCCCAATTTCTCCTCAGGTCTGATGCAGCCCTGGCTCTCTGGAGCCAGCCACAGTGCCCTGCTCAGGAGTGGATTTTTCCTGACTCCCCCCATCTCTGACTTGCAGGAGGCTGTGGCAGAGCTGTGCTGAACCCCCCAGACCTCACTCAGGGTTGTGTGCTCTTTATTTCTGCTTTTTTTTTTCTGCCCAAACTCCCTCACTTATTGATGGCTTAGCCTGACATGTGAACCAAATCTACCTACAACCCCAAATGTCACTTTTCTGGGTAAAATCCCCCCAATCTCCCCAGAATTCTTGATTTGCTGTGTTTAAACCTGGGAATTGTCTGCTCTTCCTGCTGGTTTATCCCTCCCTTTGCACAGACCCAGAGCTGTCTCAGCCCTGGTGCCTGCAGAGATCAACACCCACCACACATCTGGCGCACAGCTGGAAGGGTCACAGAGGTGTGGGGGACAACATTGGATGCCTGAGGGTTGGATCTGGACGATCTTTAAGGTCTCTTCCAACTTTTCTATGTGCAAGTGCTGCTTTGGCCCAACAAAGCCCAGTTTTGGGAAGCCCAGCTGGATTCTCTGCACCCCTGGAGAGAGGGAAGTGCTGCCCAGGCAGAGGGGAAGATTTTTCCTTGCAGATGAAGCAGTGGCAAGAAGTGTGAGGAGTTTGTTGTGTCTCTAAGCAGGAGAGACCCCTCCATGTTCCCCACAGCCACCAATCCCTGCAGAGGAGGCTCTGCTGGTCAGGAATTTGAGCTCCAGGATTGTCCCTTCCCTTCCTGGGGTGCCCTGAGCCTCCCTTTGCTCTGCCATCTCTGTTTGGCTCCCACCTCAGAAATTGTGAATATTTGCTGGTGACACAAAGACGCTGCTCCAGCTGCAGGAGGTTCCTCTTCTGGAAGAGATCAGAGGAAAAAAATTAAAGCTTTTATTGATCCCCCCAGATTTCCTCTGGAATGCAGCCACAGGATGTCAGTGCAGCCATCCAGATGTGGCCTCCTGGTCACCCCCAGCTCCAGATGTGCTGCCTCTGCTCTCTTTGCTCCCCAGCTGAAGGGCAGGAAAATCCTTCCCGGGCACTTTTCCTGCTCCTCAGCTATTACAGCTGCTCAGGGAATTCCTTTTTCCTCCCTGGCAGGTGAAAGAGGCCTGACCTGATCCCGCTTTTCTTATTGCCAGCATTTCCCTCCCTCCACCCCACTGAATGTCAAAGGTTTAGATTTTAAATTGCACTTTTGGTTCTTATTTCTGTGACCAAAATGAAAGGAGAGGAAGCTCTGTATTGGAATTTACTGGAAAAAATTGGTTTTTGTTTGTTTTTTCAGGATAAAATAACCTTTCCAGGAAATATTTGGAGCTGGTTGGCATGATTTTATTAATTCCCTAATTCCTGCTGTCTCCTTGGAGCAAAAGGAATTTCATCCATAGGAGACACAGCTGAGGGGCACCAGGACCCATCCCAAATCTGACCTGGTCCCACAAATTAGACAAAATTAGAAAGTTTTAATAAAACCCAGGCAATTTTCCTACTTTTTTTCTGCATTTTTCTGTGGCATAAACAACCTTCCTGAATTCTTCAGAGTTTGAGGTAAAAAAAAAGCTTGAAAACGAGGAGAAAAAAGAAGAGCAAAACACGAAATCCATAAGGGAATAGAAATGCTCTTGCATTATTTATGCCATGCCTTGAAGAAACAGGGGCAAAATAATCCTTTTTGGTGAGCACCACTGTGAAATCTAAAATTTCAGCGTGGAAGAGAAATGAGGAGCTTGTGTTTGAGCCCTGAAATTCTGCACAACTTGACAGGAACGGAAAAAGAGCCCCAGAGTCCTGGTGGCCACATGTCTGTCACTCAGTGATTCAATGTGGGAGCAGCACAGGGCTGAAATTCCTGAGCCCCTCACTCTGGGAACAGGGACTGTCCCTGCTGGACTGGGTGGAATTTGGGAGATTTCAGTTAAAATGTGTTGTTTTCTGAGTGGCTGGTGGTGCTCAGAGGATGCAGAGGATGTTGAGTGTGGCCATCCTGGGGTGGGACCTGTCACAGCACCTCTCTGACCACATCCCCACAGCTGGGACGTCACCTGGGAGATGGGATTCACCTCCTGTAAACACTCTGGGGTTAGGTTTAATTTAATACAATTCATTCTTTATTATTATTTAATTTCTGAATCTCAATCCAAGCCCAGGTGCCCCTGGTAGGGCTCTGCTGTTCAGCCTTTGCTGCCAAAGTTCAGAAGCCGAGCTGGATTTAGGGGGTGAATATTGATGCTCTTCCCTCTGGGGCCTGTGAAATCAAACATTTTAAGATTTATATGATTTAATTTCTAATAATCTTTTTTGACCCAAATCCTAAAGAGCTGGGAATTGGTCATGGGGTGGGACAGGGGAGTCTTTGGGGACATTTGGTGGCAAGTGCTGAGAGCTGAGCCTCTCACAGCAGCTTCCTCTCATTTTCTGAGGCCCTAAAGCAGCAGTTGAGAACTCTCAGTGAGTCAGGCACTTTCACCAGAAAAAAAACCTACTTTTGTTCTTAATGCCTTTGAAGCAGAGGCTGCAACTTCAGCATTAAAAGGCAATTTGATCACTAAATCCTCTTATTCCGAATAACCGGGGAGCTGGATGCCCAGAGGGTGGAGGATGAGGAGCAGCACAGAGATTCCTCCCGGCCCGGGGGGTTTGCACATCCCCCTCCACCCAGCAGAGCTGGGATATGAGGAGTTGAACAATTCCTTTCGGTATCCCAGGGATCCTCCCGGTTTTCTCCACCTTCCCAAAGCTCTTGTTTTCCTGCCCCGGGCTCGGCCCCTCGCTCCTGCCCGGCCCTGGGAGCTGCTGGGTGCAGGAGGAGGCTCAGCCTCATCCCAGTTCTCCTGGAACTGCTGCAGGGGGGGTGCAGGGTGTGCAGAGGAACTTTCATTTCCCCTGACCAGGGTGTGGAAAATTGGGGAAGGGGCTCCCAGTAGCCATCCCCAGCTGGTGCTGGACCTGACTGGGAGAAGCTGTGACGGCCTGTGGGTCACGGAGCTGCTTCCAGGCAGTGCTCAGCACTGAACTGGAAACACTGGGGAAGATGGGATGCCAGGAGAGTTACAATAATCCACAGAAACCTGGAATATCCTGAGCTGGGAGGGACCCTCAGGGATGATCAGTGCAGCCCCTGGCCCTGCCCAGACCCCCCAACAAGCCCATCCTGAGCATCCCTGAGAGCGCTGGCCAAACGCTCCTGGAGCTCTGGCAGCCTTGGGGCCGGGCCCATTCCCTGGGGAGCCTGGGCAGTGCCAGCAGCCTCGGGGGGAAGAACCTTGCCCTGAGCTCCATCCCAAGCCCTGGCACAGCTCCAGCCCTTCCTGGGCTCCTGTCCCTGCTCACCACAGGGATCAGAGCTGGCCAGCTCCCCTTGGCACCAGAGCTGGGGAGATTCAGCTCCAGCCACATCTCCGGGAGAACTGGACCAGGAAGGACAAGAAATGAGGGCGATGTCCTAGTCCTGAGTGCCACAGGGAGATTTTGCTGCTGGAAAAGTGTGGCAGCACAGGGATGGGGTGTGGGGGTGTGGATGGAGCAGTTCCCAGCACACGACAGCCACGGGCTCTCGATGGGGAAACTCGAAGGATGTTTGCAAGTGGGGAGAAAGGGGAGGAAAAAAATACGTGAGTGAAAGGGAAGAGAGTGGAAAGGCTGCATTTAAAGGTTAACACTTGTCCCAGGAGAGAGGAGGTGAGTGTCTGTGCTCTGAAATAGCATCTGCTGACGCCGGTGTCTCACAGCTCTTTGGTCTGGGCTTTTTCTTAAAAAACCAATTATGTCCTTTATTTTCCACTGCACTCGCTCGCAGCCCTGCTGAGGAGGGAGCCTGATGTGCATCACTGTGAGATCCCCGCTCGTCACCACCTTCCCAGTGCGGTAACATTAATTCACACCTCCCACACGCGCTGCCTTTCTCTAATACAGCAGCAACAGCCTGGCATGGAGAGTGAGATTACAGCAGAAAAAGACTTTCCGCTGAATTACCTCAATGCTTTCAGTAACCTCAAGAACCGCACCACGCCTTTCTTCCCATCCCTGTAGGATCGGGGGTTCTGCATCCCACTGGAAACTCACCAGGAGCTGCTGTGGGTGAGGATTGAAGGGCTCTGAGCACAGAGAGGGCCCTGGGCCCTGCAGGCTGTGAGCCAGGAGCTGCTGCAGGGGCACCTGTTTAGGCTGTGTTTGCTTTTTACCACCAAAAAGGGCTCGGGGTAAGCTGGGAGCTCCCATCAGTCAGAGCCAGACCAATCCCTTGGGCACGAAGGTGCCTGATTGGAACCTGAGCAGCAGCCCCTGGCATCCTGCTGGGCTTGTCCCCAAATCCCCATCTGCACAATGTCACCCGTGGATGTGCAGGGACCCAGAGCACCAGGAGGGTGTTTCCGTGCAGGTTTTAACACAGGAGCTGCCCCCAAAAGCCCCATGGCAATCAGTGAAACCTCTTCCCAAACAAAGGAGCCATCCTCCACCATGGGAAAGGGAGGATAAAGAGGTGCTGGACGTGTTTGATCATCTGCAGTGGTGGCAGTGCCCAGGGGATGTGACAGAGTGGGCAGAGAGCTGCTCCGAGGGCACTCCCAGCTGGTGGGGATGGAGAGCAGAAAGCAGAGATGAGCTCCCTGCTCCTGCCTCCATCCCCAGGGGGTCCTGGGGGTGATTCTGCAGGGAAAGGAGCTGCAGCAGCAGCAGAAGGAAAAGGGGATTTGCAGCTGCGCCAGCTGTGGTGTAAATGCAGCTGTGCCCACTCAGGGCAGTGGTCACTGCAGGGATGACCAGGGGCACAAGGAGAGCCCTGACCATGGCAAACCTTTACCAGAAAAAGGAACAGCCTGAAAAACAAAGGTGTGATTCCTCAGCTGATACCGGGGATGCTCAGTAACACCCCAGGCGTGCCTGGTCCCCCCCTTGCAGCTCACAGGAAATGAATTGCAGCTCTTTGCCCCACAGGACAGGGGGCTGTGGTTTGTGTGACATGGGGACAGCCCTGGGCAGGCAGCACCAGGGGCTGTGTGGGGCTGGGGGATCCCTGGAGCTGCTCCTTCCTCTGGAGGGCTCAGACTGGGGCTGGGTTTGTAAGGAGAGATGAACTGGTTTTCTCTGGAAGTTTCAGGGGAAATGAAGCGACCACTTGGAGTCTATTTGAGAACAAAACGCTCTTTGCTAGTCAGAAATCCCTGGGAGAGTGAACTGCCAGATGTCTCCAGCATCCCTGACACCTCCTCCCTGCATCCCTCCCTCATCCCTCCCGCATTCCTGCAGCCTCTCCTCTTCCCCTGCCCTGTCCCTGGGACAGCCCTGCCCCATCCCACGGCCCTGCCTCACTCCCTGCAGTGCCCAGCTCCTGGCAGGGCTTTTCCCGGCTCCTGGGGCAGCCCTGGGAATGCTTCCCATGCTCTGGGGGAGGTGTCCTGCTGCTGCGGTGCTGCCAGGGTGATCCCGGAGCCTGTGTGGTCCTGGGGCCACTGGAGCAGGGCAGGGACTGGGGGGGGAGTCCCCACTCCAGGCTGGGGCTGAGCCCGAGACTGGGGAGCCCCATCCCGCAGGGCTGGGGGGCAGCACGATCCCCTGGGGCAGGGAGCACATCCCATGGGGTTGGAATTATCCATGGAATCCGGTGGGACTGGGGAGATGTCCCCAAGAGTGCTGTGACATCACCTGGGTCAGGGCAGTGGAAGCCCTGCCCTGGCAACCCTGGTGTTGGGGGGGTCCCTTTGGGCACCTCTGCCCTGCCCCAAAGGGGACCCAGCTGGGCCTGGCAGGGGCAGGGCCCGAGGGCTGGAGGGCTCCGTGTCCCCCCTGGGCACAGCCCCTGTCCCCAGGGCCAGCACTGAGGTGACACAGCTGCTGCTCAGCCCAGCCCTGGCACAGGCAGCAGTGGGGTGTCCCCAGCACCAGCATGGCCTTGGCAGTGCCACCTCTGGGGCTGTGGGAGCCCAGGATGGGCTGCAGGGATGGAGAGCAGGGGGACAGCGAGAACCTGACCTGCAGTGAGGCTGTGCAAGGTGAGAGGGGCTGGGGAGGGTGGGACAGGGATGGGAACAGGGACAGGGACAGGGACAGGGACAGGGACAGGGACAGGGACAGGGACAGGGACAGGGACAGGGGAAGGCACCTCCAGCCCCAGGGATGGGATTTCCCAGCTCTGTGTCCTGTGCAGGTTTAGCACCCCCAGGATTCTCCATGGGATCCTCTGCTTTGGGCAGGAATTTGGTGGAAAATGGTGCTCGAGGCTCCTGAGGGGTTCCTTGGTCTGATTTGGGGATTTTTTTTTGGTGTTTCTTGCAATGCTGGGGCTCAGTGATGCCACCTTGAGCAGAGGTGACACCCAGGGGGGCCAGTGGCACCACTCAGGCACGGTGGTCAGAGGATGCTGGTGGCGCTCAGAGGATGAAGAAGATGTTGAGGATGTTGAGTGTGGCTGCCCTGGGGATGGGCTGAGCTGGGACCTGTCTGACCACATCCTCACAGCTTGGATATCACCTGGGAGATGGGGGGTCACCTCCTGGAAACACTCTGGGGGTTGTTTTTATTTATCATAATTTATTATTTATTATTATTTAATTTCTGAATCTCAATCCAAGCCCGGTTCCCCTCTCAGGACGCTGCTGTTCAGCCTTTGCTGCCAAAGCCAAAGGAGCTGAGCTGGATTTGGAGTGCAAATATTGATGCTCTGCCCTCCCTGGGGCTCTGAAATCAGGCAGTGTAAGACTGAAGTTATTTCGATTTTGAATCATTTTGGTTCTTGCAGTGCTGGGGCTCAGCAATGCCACCACAGCAGAGCTGACACCCAGCTCAGCACAGGGACAGCCCTGCGGCTCTGGGGGATCCCAGGGGCTGCTCCTCCCTCCAGGCAGCCCCGATTTGGGGCTGGGGTTCTCTGGAAAGTTTCAGGGGTGTTGAAGTCACCACTTGGGGTCCATTTGAGACTCAAGTTCTTTGCTGGTCAGAGAGCTGGGAGAAACTGTCCTGCAACATCCTTCCAGCATCCCTGGCACCTCCTCCCTGCACCCCTCCCGCATTCCTGCAGCCTCCCCTCTGCTCCCCTGCCCCATCCCACAGCTCTGCCACATTCCCTGCTCCTGGCAGGGCCTTTCCCAGCTCCTGGGGCAGCTCTGGGAATGGAATGTTGGAGCGCCCGAGGGCTCTGTGACATCATCGGGGGCTGCCTGGGGTCACTGCAACCCCAGCCCCGGCAACGCCGTGTTGGGGGGTCCCTGCAGCCCCCTCTGCCCTGCCCCAGAGGGGATTCACTCCCTGCAGGGAGCAGCACTTCCCATCACATCCTGCTGGACACTGCACTCACCGCCAGCTGCCACCCACTGTCCCTGCCCTGGGCCACAGGTGTCACCTGGTGGGGGACTGGCATGGCTGAGCTGCCTGCCTGAGCACAGGTGGGTGTCCCTGGGGCTTTTTGGCATCGTGAGGGTGACACCAAACCCTGCAGGTGACACCGATCCCTGCAAGTGACACCGAACCCTGCAGGTGACACCGAACCCTGCAGGTGACACCGATCCCTGCAGGTGACACCAAACCCTGCAGGTGACACCGAACCCTGCAGGTGGCACCAAACTGTGCCAGTAAATTCAGCGATTGCCACTGACAAAATGATGCATTTGCTGCTAAAACAACCAGTTTTAACCCAAACTAAATCTCTTGCTTGGCATGGTGGAGATCTCCTGGCTGTCCCAGGATGAGGTTCCTAGTGGAGAAATGCTGAAGAGATCTAATTATATTAATTAACTAATTAGAGGAAGGCCTGAGGGGGGTGAGTAAGAAGGATGAGCTCTTGCCTATGGAGCTGTAAATCCCAGCTGGGTCTGGCTGGTCTGGACAGGGCAGCTCGGGTCCCCCCTGTTCTCTCCATGAAAGGTGGGACAGGAGGGAATTCTGGCCCTGGGAAGTGGGGCTGGGCTGATGCTGAGAGCGATGCAGAGGGGTCTGAGTGTGACTCCCTGAACTGGAGCCTCGCTGCACAAAGAGAATTCTGACAGCTGCTTCCAAGGCAGATGGAGCATTTTTCCATCTGTAAGAGCCCAATGGAATAGGAATTGCTGGGGAGAGGATGAGGAGCAGCTGATCTTACCTGTGCAGCCCAGGCTGGCTCCTGCAGTGATTCCCAGGCAGTGCCAGGCTGGGCAGGGCAGGGCAGGGTGGGATCAGGGCTGCCAGCGGCCAGTTCACCCTCTGGGGACAGACACAAGGACACACACAAGGACAGACACAAGGACAGACACAAGGACAGAACACTGAGGAGCCTCCCTGGTGCAGCTGCAGGGGAAGGGGACAAGAGAGGCAGATGGAGACAAAGCGGGGGGTGAAGGGAGGGGCTGCAGCAGGAGCTGGGAGCACATTCCCAGCCTTCTCCATCCTCTTGCTCTGCCTTGCCCAGCCCGATCCAGGTCCAGGGAGAGCCCCTGGTGCTGCTGAGCTGGCCCAGCCCTGCCAGGCTCATTCTGACACAGCCCAGGGGATGCTCAGGAGCATCCGTGGAACGTGAGGCCTCCTATTCCTTGGAAAGCAGCTCTGGATTGAGGCTCGTGGCCTCCCCCAGAGCACCCTTGAGCCCTTTCTCAAGCCAGCTGCTGCTCCCTTCCCTCACAGTTGTCTTGGTGCTCCTTTCCCATTGATTTCCAGCTCTAATTGTGGCTCTGGTTCTGGCAGGGCTGGGGTTTGCCCCCTGCCCAGGATGGCAGAGGTGGGTGGGCTTGGTGGTACCCGGCACGTCCTGGGCTGTGCTCTGCAGCTGTTCCTGCAGAAAGGAGCAATTCCTTTGGGAAGTGGGGTCTCAAGTGGTGCTTGGCGTTTTGGATCCCCACAAACAGGTCATGCAGAGCTGCATCGAAGGTTTTCTGCATTAGATCAGCTTCTTGTGCCTTTCTGTGAGAAATGTGCTCCGTGCTCCCGGTCAGTGCTGCTCCTGGAGCGCTCCTGGAGCTTCCCTGGGAAACTGCTGGATTTTCTGCATTGCCTTTTGTCCCCGGGCTGGACGGGACAGCGGTGCCAGCTCTGCCCGGCAGGGAGTGCTGATCCTCCCCTCTCCAAAGCCTGGGCACCAGGGATGCGGCTCCTGCTGGGAGAGGCAGCTCCTCCCCTGGGGCTGGAGTGGGAAAAGGAAAATTCAGAATATCCGGGAAACAGCTCCGAAAACCGGCACCTTCCTCTCCCAGTGCAAGCCAGCCCCTCATCTCTGCTGCTGGCTTCACTCGTGGCTTTTTGGGAGTGAGAGGCTCCCCGGGGAGAGGGAAACCAGCGAGAAGGAAACTGAGGCACAGCAGGGACAGTCAGCTGAGGACTCAGGGCTGCCAAGGCAGGAGCTGCTGCTCTGATGGCACAAAGCTGTGCCAGGGCTTGGGATGGAGCTCAGGGCAAGGTTCTTCCCCCCGAGGCTGCTGGCACTGCCCAGGCTCCCCAGGGAATGGGCCCGGCCCCAAGGCTGCCAGAGCTCCAGGAGCGTTTGGACAGCGCTCTCAGGGATGCTCAGGGTGGGCTTGTTGGGGGGTCTGGGCAGGGCCAGGGGCTGCACTGATCATCCCTGAGGGATCCAGCTCAGGATTTTATGATTCTCATGGCTGGACTCAGCTTTCCTTGGCCAGACTGGGAATTAGAGCTGGGAATTCCTTCCCACCCCGACCGACCCTGGCGCAGGGTGGCAGCTCAGGACTCTGCAGAGGGGTTTTGCAAGAGCTCCGAGAGCTTTTAATCGATGTTTGCTGACATAATTGGTGCTTCAAGCCCTTTGTTTGAGCGAGCAAACTGATCCTGATCCTCTGCAGGAAACTCTGAGCTGGGGGGAACTGGTTGGACCTGCCCTGGAGGAGCTGGGCTTCGGAGGCAAAACCGACTTTGGTTGCGTGGAAACATTGCCTGCAGTGGAAGGATTAATGACTAATCATCGGTTCCTTAATTCTAATTGAATGTTTTCACTTTCAGAGAATTCATTTAACTATAGGATCGAGTAATTGCAGAGAAACAGCCCTGAGTCTTGTGCTGGGCAGGAAATTGGGGCATGAAATGGGAGTTTTGGGGCAATTCTGGCCAGGTGAGAGGGGCAGGAAAAGGTGCTGAACTCAAAAAACAGATCCTGTGCTGTGGGATGGGAACTGAGGAGCAAAACCTCCAGGATTTCTGCAGAGTTTCTGATTTGGGATGATAAAAATGCTGATAAAGAGGAAACACAACTCCATGGCAGTAAAAGGTGGCATTTATTGAACTGAAATCAGCAGCAATCTCAAAATACACAGCCTGGCTGTGTCACACTCAGATTTAACAAGATCTCTTTACATCATAATGTCATAATTATAAATAGAGGAAATATTTGAATTAATTTAAGATATTTACATTTTTAAAGCTCAGTGTGAAAATGCTAAAATCTAGGTGGGATTTCTAAATCTACAACAGTCAGTCCCCAAAAATCTCTAAATTAGTATAATTTTAAGCCTTTTTCAGAAAACTGACATTAACACTGAAGGGCTTTGCAAACTGCAGCTCCTGGTAGTTTTTATTTTCTTTCAATTGTGTAATATTTATATAAAATGTATATTTATATAAAACACTGCAGAGCTTAAAAAAAAAATATAATATTTTCCTCAGCACCTGCACTGTTGGCAGTTTCCTGGAGCATGAAAAGAATCATGGCAATAGTGCAAAGGTTTGTCTCAAGGAGAGAAAAAACGCTGAAATAATTTATAACAGAAATATTTTCTAGTTTTTTTTATAGCTATTTTTCCTTCATCAGTGGACGAACAGGTCTGGGAAGACCAAGCTGAGGTGTCAGTGAACCTTCCCAGTGCTCAGGTGGGGGAAGTACAACCCATACAGGCCCTGCTGCACCTGGTACAGGTGGGACTTTCTCCTCAGGCAGGAGAGGACCTGGTGGGAAAAGAACAAAAAATTAATGGGAAAAGAATGAAATTAATGGCAAAATGACCAAAATTAACGGCAAAAAATATTGAATCCATGCTCTGCCCACCATTAGGTGTCCCCAAATCACGTTGCCAGGTGGGAAGGGAGGGATTTTGGGAATAAAAATCCCCAAATGCCTAAAGCTGCAAGGCAGCTCTGCAGCAGAGGGGTTTCCTCTCCCAAATCCTGCTGGCTGTAATTTTGTCTCCTGAACCTCTGTGCTCTCTGTAGATTTAGCTCTTCTCCTCAGCTGGTGCAAAGCAATGTTTTCAAGCAGTGCTTTTCCCCATCAAAGCAGAGATGGGAAGAGGATCTGATCTCCTCTGCCTTTTCCAAGGATTTGCAGCTGGAGCATGGCCCTGCCAGGTTAGAGGGCACTGGATACAAAACTCTCAGTGTGGTTCCCACAGGCTGTTAAAAATGTTGGTTTTGGCATTCGTCATCCCAAACCTGCTCATCCTGCAGGTATTTGGACAGGGGAGAGGTTTGGGAAATGCTGCAGAGGATTCCCTGTTTCCACCTGTGGATTCCCCAATTCCTGCTCCTCATCTTGGTGCTGGCCTCGCCTTGGGGTTTGTGTTTTTCCCTCTGCAAAAACCCAGTGCCAGCCACGATCCTGCTGCTTTTCCAGAAGGAAAATTCTGCTTCCTTTTCTAAAAATCTGCTCAGCTGACTCTAAATTCCCTTCCCCATCCCCAGTGCTTGGAGGAGCTGGCAGGGACTGAAGGATTTGGGGTGGTTTTTGCTGTTTGCAGGCACTGCTCCCACTGGGATCCTTGGGAATGGGTCTGAATGTCCCTCCTGTGGCTCTGCAGAGCCAAGGGACAGTGGGACAGCAAAGGGGACACTCACCAGGAAGCACAACAAGAGGAGGAGGATGAAACCCAGCAGGGTGAAAAGGCAGATGAGGATGATGGCCCAGAACTGAAGCTCTGAAAAAGGGAAAAAAAAGGGCACATCAGGTTTAGAGACTTCTCCTCGTGGGGTCTGAGAGGGAGATCTCACCCTGGCAAAGTTCAGAAGTGCTGAACGCTCTGTAGGTCAGGGAAAATTACAGAAATTTGGGAAAATGGAGTGAGGGTTCAGGGATCCACAACCTTAAATGTCACTGCAGGGAGCAGCAGAGCCCCCAGCTGGTTCCAGGCGTGTTCAGAGTGACAAAGTTCTGTCTTAACAGCTCCTGGACACTTCTGGGGTCAGGGACAGGGCTCAGGGTGTCAGCAAAGGCTGTGGTTATTTTACCAGAGTGTTTAGGAAAGTGACAGCTCAGGGTATTTTTTTCTCTCTCTGTGTTTGCTGTTAGTCCTGGGGTTCTAGATAAACTAAACCATATCTGGTCAGTTTTTGGGTTTTTTTTAGAAATACTGCAGTTATCAAAATTTATTGGTGCCAGAGTTTTCAAACAGTTCCCAAACTGCTTTTGCCTGTCCTTCAATTCCATTCCCCTCAGGCTGGTGGCACCTGCTGTTTGCTACCAAGAGCCCTGGATTTTTTGTCATTTCCATGGGTTTAGTCCCATTCCAAGAGATCTGATGCTAATTTATTGCAGCTCAAGTATTTATCAGGGTTCAATTATTTATTAGAGCTCAAGCATTCAGTGGCTGTTGGGTCAATCCTTGCCAAAAAAGCACCCACCTGATCTTTTGGACTCTGGCTCTTCTGTTTTGAGTGGTGAGTAACCTGGAAATGAGGAGTGGGACAGATGAGGAATGGAACTCTGGAGCTGATTTAGGCAAAAACAGGAAGAATTCCCCAAAATGTCCCTCCAGGAGCTCTCACCTTCCACCATCAGACTCTGCTCCTCCAGCTCATAGCTGGGACCCAGCCTGGTGAAGCCCTGGGTCAGGATTTTCAGCTCCTCAAACACCTCCTGCTCTGGTAAAGTCCCTGAGAGGGGATCCAGGGTGAACTTGCAGATGGAGGAAACCTCTGTGTGTCCTTTGCCGTGGACAGGCCTGGAGGGTGGCAGAGAGGAGAGAAAATGAAGCTGAGTAGAGCAGGGAGAGGGATTTGGGGTCTCAAGTTTGCAGATGTCCCAGTGACGTCTCATTGGGATGGGATCACTTTTAGTGGCTTGTTCTGGGTGAGGCAGGAACTGCTGGCACCTTGTGAATTCCATCCTCTGATTTAATCCCCAGCAAGGCATTTCTAAGAGATAAATCAGCTCTAAGAGGCAAATCAGCTCTATTTCTACAAGGAAAATCAGCTCTATGAGTTAAATCAGCTTTATTTCTAAAAGTTAAATCTACTCTGCCACTTTGTTCCTCCAAAGAGTAGTTGTAGGACCCTCCACAGGCAGATTTTGTCCTCAGGCTGGTCAGTTGGGTTTCCTTCAGTGTGCCAGTGGAATTTGAGCCTATTTGAGCACGTTAAATGAGAGAATGAACATGTTTGCTTTACCCTGGGATTGTTCATGCATGAAAACAGCTCTGCAAGCACCGAAACAAAACCAGCTCTGTTTGGACAGAAACCTTTTGTGGTAAAGGCAAAAGTGACTGAGGGAGAGTGAGGTGACTCCCGTTTGTCACTGGGGGAACAGAGGTTGGCAGGGAGGGGTGGACACCCTAAATGACCTCCTGAACCGCTCCCTTGGGACTTGAAAACAGCACTGGACATACCCAAAGCTCTCCACAGTGCAGCCAACAAATTGTTCCTTCAGGTGGCTGCTCCTGAATACCTCGAGCTGATGGGGGGAAACAAAAGAGTTGAGGAAAGCAGAGTTAATTTAACACATCCTTTGGACAGGGAGCTCAAGCTTTTGCTGTTCATTTCACCTCTTTCTCAATCTTCTCTTTGTTCTCTTGGTACATCTGGGAGCTGGAGTCCTGCAGCTCTGGCGAGTAGGGAAGGTTGGAGATTTGGAAATTTAATCCGAAGTTCTCTTTGCGAGACTCGAGGGGTGTCTTGTGGGTTGCTGCCTCAACTGAGAGTTCCAAGGCTGGAGATGGAGAGGAAAATTAAATTCTAGCAGGGAGAAACTGAGGCTTTCCTAGCAAGCAGCACTGAGCAGCAGTCTTTTAGCTGGAAGTATTAGATTGGCAGAACTTGAGTTGCACTGAGGACTGACAGGAAACTCCAGATATACCAGGGCATTTATTTCTTTGGGATGCTGCACATTGGGAAAAAAAAGCTGAAAGTCTGTTTATCTCTAGCTGTGGTAATCAGTTCAAACTGCAATTTATGATTTTTTTTTAATACTGAAAACACCTTATTTTGAATAACAATTTAATTTTTAAATTAAATTTAATATTTTTTATTAAATTTAATACTGGAGAACATCTTAATACTGAACAACCCCTTAAGCCATCAGTGACTAGAGGACTGAATGTCTGAATGGCCTAACTCAGAGTCCAGTGATTCAACTTAATAATAGATTTATTTGTGCCCTGACAGAGCAAATTTGGGAGATTCTGAGTGTGCCATGGCGAAGTGAGTTATCCATATGGACACTGGGAAGGGATTTGATCCACGTACTGTCCACTGAGAATTCCTGAAGTCGGTAGCTGCTCCCCAGCCACAGCCCGGTGGTGTTGGAGGTCCTGTCCTGGAAAGTCCTTTCAACCACAGCCCTGTTGATGCTGGGGTTGGGCTGGAAGAAGCACTGGCAGTCAACCACTATGGATCCAGGCCTGTGGGCAGAGGGACAGAGGTTTGGGGATAAGTAGGATGGGCAGGAAGCTCCATGTGGGAAGGAGTTTCCTGAAGGGTTCCTGTTGTCCTGAAGGTTGAGTGGTTTAAAGTGATGTGGTGGAATAATGGTGTGGAATGGGCTGCTTGGGGCTTTTCCTCTGGACAGGGACAGGAGTTAAAATTTTACGTCTTCTCTGGACAGATTTAGGTTGTATTGCATGAATGCAAGGAAAAAGCAGCACTTTTAGGTTTTTTAAATCTTTGGTGTTGTGGGAGGGTCCTTTGTTCAAGCCTCACTCAGTCTTGAGCAGGACATCACAGCTCACTTTTAAAATCTAGTGGAGCTCAGGTTGAGACGAGTGCAGAGGCCACAGGATCACCAGTTCCCAGGTGGAACTGGTGGAAAAGGATGGAATCTGTAATTCCTGGGATACTCAGAGACCTGAGAGTGCCTTACAGAAACCCTGACTGAGAAACCCCAAAATAAATTCAAACCGACAACTTCTGTGAAGTCTGGAAATGCCTCCTTAGGGCATCAGTTTCCCACAGGAGAATGGAAGGGAGGAAATCCATAGGGGCCAGTGGCTCTTGGCCATGGGGGAGCAGTGCCAGGGTGTAGCAATCTTTAAACAAAATCAGATTTTATCCCAGACCTCAGCCTGGTGATCCTGCAGGTCAGGAACTGGTCCCGCAGGTCGCTCTGACGGTACAGGTGATTCATCTGAAATTAAAATGTCCCATTAAATATTAATGAGTTTGGGCACTGTGCTGGAGGCTTTAGGCCAGCAGGAGGGACTTGAACTCTGGAGAAATGCCAGGGTTATTTTTTGCTGGTTGGATTTCATGGGGGTTGGGTTTTACTTTGGAATAGGCACTTTTTTGGGGATGGGGTCCGACTTCCAGCCTGGCAAGCATTCCTGCCTTATCCGAGCAGGATGGCAGTGTGGGGGAGCAGTGTCCTGAGTCACATCCCCACCTCACAGACCCAGAGCTCAAAGAGAGCAAAACCCACCCAACCACAGCCTCATCAGTTTGATAAATTGGATTGGTGCTGAAGAGAAAACATTGGATTCTAGGACTGAATCATGTGTAGACCAGGGATTTGCCAGCAGGGATTGGCCTTGGATGCAGTTCTCGAGGTGGGAGTGAAATGCTGAATGAACATCTGTTAATGTTCATTTAACAGATCAGCTCTGGCATTTTGCAGTCCATGTCTTTGGCTGGAGAGAATTTCATAAGACCACATGGAATCATCAAATGGTTTGGGTTGGAAAAGACCTTAATGATCCTCCAGCCCCAGTCCCCTGCCATGGGCAGGGATGACACCCACCAGGTACAACTTAAAACCAAAACTGAATCAAAGGTCAATCTCATCTTTCAGATTGTAGAAATTTTTGTTCCCAAATGTTGATTTTTTAATTTTTTTTTTTTTAATTCAGACATAAATCTTTGGTAGTTGCTTCAAGCACTGACCAGTCAGACATATTCCCAAACACCTCCTTACCTTGTTGGTGATGCTTTCTACTGCTGCTCTGTATTCTGGAGACTGGGAATCAGGGTTGGTGAGGTTTTCATTGATTATTCTAAAGCTCAGTCTGTAGCCCAGTTTGACTGCAGTCAAGAGAGGCTCTTTGGTGGCAGCTGTGTCTGTGAGGGTAAAACCTAAATAAAAAGGGTAGAGTAAATTTATTTTTACATATGTTCATATCATAAAAGCAATATAGATTCACCCCTGCTTAGGTCATACACTGTACCAGTGAAATTCACCAGGAACTTGTCTGATTTAGGAATGGAAATGCTGCCAGCATGGCAATATCCTATAGGATTGGTTTTATCATTGTGTCAAACTTAAAGAAAACCAACAGACCAAAGGGTTCATCATTGCTCAGGCCCCAGTGATGAGGAATGATCTCCAGGAGATCCCAAAATCCTGTTATCCCCATGGATACTTACCATCAACGTACAGGCTGCTCCTGTCCAGGCTGTAGTGGCCCAGATTGGTGACGTTGTTTGTCATGGTGCTCAGCTCCTGGTAAAGCTTTTCTCTGTCAAACCTGGCCAGGCTGGCATTGTCCTTGTAGCTGCACACAGCATCCACTTTTGTGTCATCCCTGCTCCTTCCAGACCTGGGGAAAAACGTCACACACGTTCTTTGGGACACTGCTCTGCTGGAAGAACTTCCTGTGGGGTTTTTAGGACAGACACCAAACCCACAGTGCCAATGGGCTCTTGCATCCTTCACCAGGCTTTCCAGAATTGGGGTGATGACATTTAGATACCAAAATTATTTTATCAGCTAAAAAAAATCCTGGCTGGACAAGGAAGTGTCACCAGCTGCTCTTTTCTGGCCTCAGCACAGCCATGAATTGAAGGTGTGTGAGAGTGGGGAAAGAAATGGTTCATTGCAGTTTCAGGAGTATTTTAGGTGTTTTATATTTAGGTGTTTTAGTATTTCAGACACTTTTAGGATTCTTTCAGATATTTTTAGTGTCTGCAGGGAGGGCTCAGAGCAGGGACCAAGCTCTGCTCTTTGGGGCTGAGGAACAGTATAAGAGGAACAAGGCAGGAACTGATGCCCAGGAAATTCATGAACATGAGGAAGAACAACTTCTTTGTGCAGTGACCAGGCACTGGAACAGATTGTCCAGAAAAGTTTTGGAATCTCCTCACTGGAAATATTCTAGAGCCATTTGGACACAATCCGTGTGCTCTCTGGGATGACCCTGCTGGAGAGGGAGGTGGGACCAGGTGACCCACGGAGGTCCCTTCAAACCTGACCCATCCTGTGATTCTGGAATTCCAAATCTTACCTAAATCTCATGGCTTTACATCCTGTGTAGGCAGAGTTTATGCTGCTCCTCTTGAAAAGAGGGTCAAGCTGTCAAAAAAAAGGACAATTGAGAATTTGGAATCATATCCTGAGTTTAAAGCAGGTGGATTTAGGTCACCACCAAGACCCAAAAGGGGCACAAGAAGAGCCAGACTCACATAGTGGTTCATAACTTTCACTGTGGAAAGGAATCTGCGGGAATTTGGCTCATCCAGATCTGCAGTGTAGCGGAGGTTGGTCAAGGTGAAGTTAAGTGTGAAATTCCTGGATATTGGTTTTGGTGCAGCTGTGGTGCTCCTGGCTGTAATCAAAGGGGAGAAGGATTAGGAATTTCCTACAGAAAAAGCTGTTTTCACTTTCAAAACATTCCTAATCCCAGCACACCTCAAAGCTACTCCGAATAATCTCTCCCCCTCTGATTTTCTCAGGGCATTGCTCCTTTGAGAGCTTCCCCTGAAATGAATTTGGCAAAATGTGCATGGCAAAATGAATTTGGCAAAATACTTACGGGATCTCTCAAGGGGTTCGTTGTAACCTGGAAAGGAAATGCAAGAGAAAGAATTATGTAAGACAGCATCCACTTTGGAGAAGGGAAGTGTAGAGGGGGTGATAAAAGGATGACTTGAGAATGAATCATCAGAACCTGGCCCCAAGGGTGTGAATGTATTAAACAAAGCAAACTTAGGCAGAACAATGTGCTTTGGAAGAGCAGGGCTACAATGAGAAAATGTGTGGGCCAGTGTTTAATTATACACTGTGGGACTGAAATCAAGCAAAATGTTCATAGGCAGGTAAATGATTGAGGTCAAGACTAAAATTAAGTTCACTTTTCAATGTAATACAGAAATTAAAAGCTTAAAAAATGTCAACGTGGAAAGATTTTAAATTTTATACTTCATCTTACACAGATAAATCAGGTAGAAAACCCTAGACCTTCTCCTTAAGGTGACTTTTTTAATATTGAGGTGATCCCTGAGAGCTGAGGCGGTCCCAAAATGCTCCAGTGCCTGGAGGAGTGGGAAAATCAAACACTCACCATTGACATAGAGGCTCTTGTTGTCCAGGTCGTAGATTCCCAGCTTGGTGATGCCATTTGTCATTTTCCTCATCTCTTGGTAAACCTCAGCTGGGTTAAATTTGGGCACCTGGGAGCCATTTCTGTAGCCACAGATGGTGTCCACTCCTGTGCTATCCCTGTTCTTCCCAGGCCTGAGGAATTTAATATCATGGAGCTTCTGTTAGTTATTAAAAATATTTTGGAGGGGGAGGGTTTGTTTGGTTTTTTTGTTTTGATGTGATTAAAAAACCCTCCAAATAAATCTGCTCACAATTCACAGATGAGCTGCAGAAACCACCAAGATATGGCCTTACAAGGGAAAGGGCTTTTTAAGGTAAAGACCACACAAAATGGTGTAGAAGCTTTATTATAATGAAAGCAACTACTTGAGAAAGGAGGACAATTATTAAAGTGTCAGACAAATGTAAGGAAATCCATTTGCTGCAGTTCCAAGTGAATCTCTGTGGTTATTGCTCACCTGAATCCCGTCACTTTGCAGCCAGTGAAATGGGGGCCAATGCTGCTCTTCTGAAGCAGGGAGTCAATCTAGCAAGGAAAAGTCTTTGTGAATACAGGAACCCCAAAATCCTGGGTGATTTCAGTGAAAAACAACAGCATTTTGGCTTACGTAGTGTTTCATTATTTTCTCAGCAGACTGGAATTTACGGGAGTTTGGTGTCTCCAGGTCTGTGGTGAACATGAGGTTGGTTATGGTGAAGTTCAGGGTGAAGTTTTCCGTGATTGCTCCTGGGCTTTGTGTGGTTGATTTTACTGCTGCAAGAGAGAACAAAAACAACAATGAGTAAATAAGAACAGGATCTCCATCAGACATTGCTGTTACTGGTTTTCTTAGGGAAAAAACCCATGTGCACATGATCCCACCCTTCAGACCTTTTGCAGTGTTAAGAACACTGCCAAATCAGCAGAAGAGAAAACCAATTTATGCCTTTAAGTAGTCTTAACCTGTATTTGGTTTTAAATATACTTACAGGATAGAATCTGAGGTTCATTGTAACCTGAAAAACAAATGGAAAATTATTAGGAAAATATTCCAAGAAAGACTCAGCAGGACTAAAGACAGGGGATTTTATTACAAGATTGTGGTTACTGAATTCAAGACTTTTAACTTGGTGACAGACGGGTTTTGCCCTCTAATTTTTGTTCTCTGTTTTAAGAGGTGAATTAAACCTTCTTTATTCTAATTTCAAATTAGTCTGTGTCAACGCTGAAGGCTGGACTTGATCAGAGGTCTTCTCCAACCATAATGGTTCCATGATTCCAACATAGAATCCCAGAATGGTTTGAGATAGAAAGGACCTTCAAGACCATCCAGGTGCACCTCTCTGCCCTGGACAGGGACAGCTTTAACTAGACCAGGATGCTCAGAGCTCCATCCCACATGGCCTTAAACAGCTCCAGAGACAGGGAATCCACAATTTCATTTGGAAAAATGCCTTGAGAAGGTTTCATTACCATTGACATAGAGGCTCTGGCTGTTGAGGCTGTAGTGTCCCAGCTTGGTGATGCCATTGGTCATTTTGCTCAGCTCATGGTAAATGGTTGTTCTGTTGAATTTGGGATCTGAAGGCTCATCCCTACAGCTGCACATGGCATCCACTACTGTGTCATCCCTGTTCTCCGTGGACCTAGGAAACGAGGCATTGGTTTAGTCATTAATGAGAAATTGATCTTAACTTCTTGCATACAAAGACAGGGATCAGAAAAACCCCTCAGACATCACAACCACATAAGAAAATACCCAAAGATGAGTTAAATGCTGAGAAATGGAAATTTTAAGAAGCAGAAAATGGGGACTTTTCTCAGACATGGCTCTTACCTGAATGCCATTATTTTGCAGCCAATGTAAGCTGGGCCAATGCTGCTCCTTTGGAGTAAAAGATCAAGCTGGAAATGGAATAACAACATGGAAGTGAGTTGTCCCAGTGAAGGTAAGAGATGAGAGATACTGAGAGAACTCTGCCCCAGCAGAGCATTGTTTGTGAGACTTACATAGTGGTACATGACTTTTTCTGTTGACTTGAATCTCCTGGAATTGGGTTTCTGCAGATCTGCTGTGAACTGGAGGTTGGTTATTGTGAAGTTCAGGGTGAAGTTCTTCACTGCTGGTGCTAGAGGTTGGATAGTTTGATCAGCAGCTGTAATGAAAAAGGAAAATTATTGCTTGAAAGTACCATTAATGTTCAACATCCCAAGAGGAAGCACTCTAGGTAAAATTCCCAGATAATCTAGGGGGCTTCAAGGCTATATAAGCTATGGTTCCCAAACAGGCTCACAAATTCTCTTAACACTACTTTATAAACCAGCAGTGCTCTTGCTTGATTAATCCAACTTCCTGTTTTGGCTGTTGCTAATTAGCAAAATCTTCCTGCCCCTCAATTTCCCTTTAGTGGTACTTACATAGTTCAGGCTGCACTTCATGATGACCTATGGGGGAAAGAAAAGGAACAGGACTTGAGGAAGTGCCTTAGAGTTGGAAAGGTTTGGCACACACTAGAATACAGAACATGTCTGAGAGCGCCTGAGTAAACATTTCCTAGGAAAGATTGATTTGGTGACTGTCCAGGCATAAATGCATATTACTGTGTTGGCAAGGTGCTGCTTTTCTTAGCAGTGCACAGAATTCTCCATTTCTTAGGGATATTTAGAGGAAATTTACCAATTCCCGAAATCCAGTTTAGAATCACAGACTGGTTTGGGGTGGAAAGGAAGTTAAAAATCATCAGGTTCCAACAACACTGCCATGGCCAAGGAATCATTTAATTTCTACATGGAAAATTTATGCATGATTATGTAAAGCAGCGATAAGTGATAGTGCTTGACTGACATTGAGAGGTCAGACCCTTTTATTTTCTGAGATATTCGTAAATAGAATACTTTAACATAGAGTAAATGAGAAAATACACTTGAAAAAGATTAATTTTAATGTATTAAAAAATACATAGAAGGAGGTAAAATAATAAACGTATGTAGAATGTATGAGATGTCCATGGAAAAACAATGAGAGATACAAATGAGTGAAAGAAGAAAAAGTACTACAAAAAGAGGAATGATTTTGTGAAAGAAAACGACAAGATATGAAATCACCAAAGCATAGAAAATGAAATATATGAAAATTAAATAAATGAAAAAAAAATCACCGTTGACGTAGAGGCTGTCCTTGTCCAGGCTGTAGGGGCCCAGCTGGGTGATGCCTCTGGTCTTGTTGCTCACTTGGTGGTACAGCCCCACCCTGTCCAAAGGCGCAGCCGAGGCCTCCTTGCTGTAGCTGCACACGGCGTCCACCCGCGTCTCGTCCCTGTGGCTGCCTGGCCTGCAAAACACAGGGACCTCCCTGAGCACTCTCCTCTGCCTGTTCTCCTCTGGAGCTTGCACCATGGAACTACCATGGTCATTTCAGAGTGGCAATTTAACATTTGTCTTCCCAAAACTGGGGCATGTGTTTTGTGGCCGTACACTGATCTGCACCTTCAATAACGCCTTGGCGTATTTAGGAAACAGAGGGCCTGCAAGAACTTTTGGGCCTCCCTTGCTCAAAGAGAGAAATGCAGGAAATGAGGGGGACATATAAGCATGAGGTACATTGGGAAGAAGATCCTGGGATGGACGGAGAAGGTCCTTGCTCCATAAAGGTGGGGAACATGACAATGACTGGTCCACATACATAAGCAAGGGCACAGAAAGGCACACTGGAGAGACACTCATACCTGAAGTCTGTTGTCTCACATCCTTGGAAAACAGGGCCAATGCTGCTTTCCTTCAGCAGGCGGTCCAGCTGCCAAGGGAAATGGTGTCACAGTTAAGGCATGGCAATCTCAGTGTTCTTCTAAGTGGAGGGAGCCCAGGGAAGACAAGACAATTTTCCATGGCCGGCCCACTTACCAATGTGTTCATAACCCTTCGAGTAGCTCTGAACTTGGCCGAGTCAGGATTCTCCAGGTCAGAAGTGTAGGGAAGGTTGGTGATGGTGAAGTTGACGGTGAAACGCTCAAGGGCAGCAGCTGTCGTTGTTGGTGGGTGGGTGGGAGCTGGAAGAAGCACAAAGGGGGAAGGGAAAGAGGCAAAACCCAGGATGTCAAGGCTGTGGTTGCAAAACCACATCCCTGCATTGCCATCCCTGCTCTCCATGGGAAAGGCTGGATGAATTCCTGACTCTATCCTGGAAGCCTAGGACAAGCCCTCAGCCTCTGCCCTAGATAAGATCCCAGTGAGCCCTTTGCTGTCTTCAGATTCCATCCCACTCCTGCAAGGTACTCACTGATCAGCACTGGCTGCTCGTTGTATCCTGGGAAAAGAGAGAGACAGAGGGTCAGGAGCTGGATGTGGTCCAGGGACAGCACTGGGCGAGGGCTGCCTTGGCAGAGCAGAGGAGGCCGAGGGAGGAGCGCTGCTCACCGTTGACGTAGAGGCTGTCCTTGTCCAGGCTGTAGGGGCCCAGCTGGGTGATGCCTCTGGTCTTGTTGCTCACTTGGTGGTACAGCCTCACCCTGTCCAAAGGCGCAGCCGAGGCCTCCTTGCTGTAGCTGCACACGGCGTCCACCCGGGTCTTGTCCCTGTGGCTGCCTGGCCTGCAAAATACAGGGACCTCCCTCAGCACTTCCTCTGCACTCTCCTCTCAGGCCTGTAACCTTTTCCTGCTCTCTCCATTTCTGAATTTGAAATCAAGCCCTCTCTTTCCCAAATGTGTGTATTTGGGAGTTCTCCAGCTCCAAGAAAGCCCTGAGACACTTCATGAAGGAGAGAGCCTGGAAGGAATTGGAAGACCTTCTAGGGGATGCCAAGTAATCTTCACCTTCACTACCCCAAGATGAGAGTAAAGCCAGTGAGAGGGTGTTCTAGGAGAGAAGGGCTTTGGGGAGAAATTCAGAAAGAAGAAAGCCATAAGGTAGAAAATCCTGCCTCCAGGAAAGAGGAGACCATGAGTGTGACCAGCCTCGTTATGTATAGGAGAGCCTTGCAAAGGGACACTGGGGTGCAACTCATACCTGAAGTCGGTTGTTTCACATCCTTGGAAAACGGGGCCAATGCTGCTGTCCTTCAGCAGGCGGTCCAGCTGCCAAGGAAAGAGGATTCCCAGTTAAGGCATGGCCAGCTGCCTGCACTCATCCCAAGATGATGAAGCCAAAGAGGGAAAGGATATGGCTCAGTGCCGGTCCCCTTACCAGGGTGTTCATAACCCTTCGAGTAGCTCTGAACTTGGCCGAGTCAGGATTCTCCAGGTCGGAAGTGTAGGGAAGGTTGGTGATGGTGAAGTTGACGGTGAAACGCTCAAGGGCAGCAGCTGTCGTTGTTGGTGGGTGGGTGGGAGCTGGAAGAAGCACAAAGGGGCAAGGGAAAGAGGCAAAACCCAGGATGTCAAGGCTGTGGTTGGCAAACCATAGAGGTCATCCTGCCATCCCTGCTCTCCATGGGAAAGGCTGGAAGAATTCAAGCCCCAGCTAGGAAGCCAAGCACAAGCCCTCAGCCTCCTCTGCTTGAGGGAAGCCTCAGTGAGCCCTTTGCTGCCTTCAGATCCCATCCCACTCCTGCAAGGTACTCACTGGTCAGCACTGGCTGCTCGTTGTATCCTGGGAAAAGAGAGAGACAGAGGGTCAGGAGCTGGATGTGGGCCAGGGACAGCACTGGGCGAGGGCTGCCTTGGCAGAGCAGAGGAGGCCGAGGGAGGAGCGCTGCTCACCATTGACGTAGAGGCTGTCCTTGTCCAGGCTGTAGGGGCCCAGCTGGGTGATGCCTCTGGTCTTGTTGCTCACTTGGTGGTACAGCCCCACCCTGTCCAAAGGCGCAGCCGAGGCCTCCTTGCTGTAGCTGCACACGGCGTCCACCCGCGTCTCGTCCCTGTGGCTGCCTGGCCTGCAAAACACAGGGACCTCCCTGAGCACTCTCATCTGTATATTCTGCCTTTCAGCCTGGTGCATTCATAGCCATCAGTAAGTTGAAATCCTTGGTCTGCCTTCCCTAAACATATGTGTGTTTGGTGGCCACATACTGCTCCTCATTCTCACTAATGCTCTGGGATACTAGATTAAGGAGAGAGCCTGGAATGGTGTTGAAAATACTCTTGAGTTTACCAAATAACCTTGGCCTATTCCATGCAAGGATGAGAGGATGGGTTTAGAAAGGGACCTCCAAGAGGAAATAACACAGAGAAAACATCCTGGAGCAGAACGGCATCAAGGAGAAGGGGCTCCCTTTGTAAGAGTGGACAACATGAGTGTTCTCTGACCCGGCCCTTGACCTCTCATGTGAGCATGAGGCTTGCAAAGGGACGCTGGGGTGCAGAGCATACCTGAAGTCTGTTTCACATCCCTGAAAAGCAGGACCAATGGTGCTGGTCTTCAGCAGGCGGTCCAGCTGCCAATGGAAGACGTTTCACAATTAAGCCATGGCCAGCTCCTCTGCACTGCTACCAAACTGATGAGGCCAGGGAGATCAGGGATATGGCTCAGTGCTGGTCCACCTACCATCATGTTCATAACCCTTCGAGTAGCTCTGAACTTGGCCGAGTCAGGATTCTCCAGGTCAGAAGTGTAGGGAAGGTTGGTGATGGTGAAGTTGACGGTGAAACGCTCAAGGGTAGCAGCTGTCGTTGTTGGTGGGTGGGTTGGAGCTGAAAGAAGAACAGATAGGGAATTACAAATTGGAAAACTGTGATTGTTATAGCTCTGGCTGCATTAGTGCAGAGGTCTCCTGCCAGCTCAGTTCTCCAAGGCCAAGGCAAGGAGACTCCCCATATGCCCAGGATCTCAAGCCCCAGCCGGCAGAGTCCACTGCCCTAAAGAAGACAAGTAAGTGGCCCTTGCTACCTTCAGATCCCATCCCACTCCTGCAAGGTACTCACTGGTCAGCACTGGCTGCTCGTTGTATCCTGGGAAAAGAGAGAGACAGAGGGTCAGGAGCTGGATGTGGGCCAGGGGCAGCACTGGGCGAGGGCTGCCTTGGCAGAGCAGAGGAGGCCGAGGGAGGAGCCTCAGTCACCGTTGACATAGAGGCTGTCCTTGTCCAGGCTGTAGGGGCCCAGCTGGGTGATGCCTCTGGTCTTGTTGCTCACTTGGTGGTACAGCCCCACCCTGTCCAAAGGCGCAGCCGAGGCCTCCTTGCTGTAGCTGCACACGGCGTCCACTCGCGTCTCGTCCCTGTGGCTGCCTGGCCTGCAAAACACAGGGACCTCCCTGAGCACTCTCATCTGTACCTTCTCCTTTTAAGCCTTTCATAGCCATTTGTAAGTTGAAATCCTTGGTCTGCCTTCCCTAAACATATGTGTGTTTGGTGGCCACATACTGCTCCTCATTCTCACTAATGCTCTGGGAAACTTGATTAAGGAGAGTGCCTGGAATGGTGTTGAAAATACTCTTGAGTTTACCAAATAATCTTGGCCTATTCCATGCAAGGATGAGAGGATGGGTTTAGAAAGGGACCTCCAAGAGCAAGTAGCACAGGGAGAACATCCTGGAGCAGAACGGCATCAAGGAGAAGGGGCTCCCTTTGTAAGAGTGGACAACATGAGTGTTCTCTGACCCAGCCCTTGACCTCTCATGTGAGCATGAGGCTTGCAAAGGGACGCTGGGGTGCAGAGCATACCTGAAGTCTGTTTCACATCCCTGAAAAGCAGGACCAATGGTGCTGGTCTTCAGCAGGCGGTCCAGCTGCCAATGGAAGACGTTTCACAATTAGGCCTTTGCCACCTCCTCTGCACTGCTACCAAACTGATGAGGTCAGGGAGGCCAAGGAGACAGCTCAGTGCTGGTCCACCTACCATCATGTTCATAACCCTTCGAGTAGCTCTGAACTTGGCCGAGTCAGGATTCTCCAGGTCGGAAGTGTAGGGAAGGTTGGTGATGGTGAAGTTGACGGTGAAACGCTCAAAGGCAGTAGCTGTCGTTGTTGGTGGGTGGGTGGGAGCTGGAAGAAGCACAAAGGGGGAAGGGAAAGAGGCAAAACCCAAGATGTCAAGGCTGTGGTTGGCAAACCATAGAGGTCATCCTGCCATCCCTGTTCTCCATGGGAAAGGCTGGAAGAATTGCTGCCTCTATCCTGGAAGCCAAAGAACATGCCCTCAGCTTCCTCTGCCCTGGAGAACATCCCAGTGAGCCCTTTGCTGCCTTCAGATCCCATCCCTCTCCTGCAAGGTACTCACTGGTTAGCACTGGCTGCTCGTTGTATCCTGGGAAAAGAGAGAGACAGAGGGTCAGGAGCTGGATGTGGGCCAGGGACAGCACTGGGCGAGGGCTGCCTTGGCAGAGCAGAGGAGGCCGAGGGAGGAGCGCCGCTCACCGTTGACATAGAGGCTGTCCTTGTCCAGGCTGTAGGGGCCCAGCTGGGTGATGCCTCTGGTCTTGTTGCTCACTTGGTGGTACAGCCCCACCCTGTCCAAAGGCACAGCCGAGGCCTCCTTGCTGTAGCTGCATACGGCGTCCACCTGGGTCTCGTCCCTGTGGCTGCCTGGCCTGCAAAACACAGGGACCTCCCTCAGCACCCTCCTCTGCCTTTTTTTCTCTCCATCTGGCATCATGGAACTGCCATGGTCATTTCAGAGTGGCTATTTAACATTTGTCTTCCCAAAACTGAGGCACGTGTTTTGTGGCCGTACACTGATCTGTGCCTTCAATAACAGCCTTGGCATATATAGGAAGCAGAGAGCCTGTAAGAACTTTTGGGCCTTCCCTGCTCAATGTGGGAAATGCAGGAAATAAGGGGGATGCATATGCGTGAGGTGCATTAGAAAGAAGATTCTGGGATGGACGGTGAATGTACTTGCCCCCTGAAGGCAGAGAACATGACTATGACTGGTCCACATACATAAGCAAGGGCACAGAAAGGCACACTGGAGAGACACTCATACCTGAAATCTGTTGTCTCACATCCTTGGAAAACAGGGCCAATGCTGCTGTCCTTCAGCAGGCGGTCCAGCTGCCAAGAAAATGGTGTCACAGTTAAGGCATGGCAATCTCAGTGTTCTTCTAGAGGAAGGGAACCCAGGCAAGGCAAGACAATTTTCCATGGCCGGCCCACTTACCAATGTGTTCATAACCCTTCGAGTAGCTCTGAACTTGGCCGATTCAGGATTCTCCAGGTCGGAAGTGTAGGGAAGGTTGGTGATGGTGAAGTTGACGGTGAAACGCTCAAAGGCAGCAGCTGTCGTTGTTGGTGGGTGGGTGGGAGCTGGAAGAAGCACAAAGGGGAAGGGAAAGAGGCAAAACCCAGGATGTCAAGGCTGTGGTTGGCAAACCATAGAGGTCATCCTGCCATCCCTGCTCTCCATGGGAAAGACTGGATGAATTCCTGCCTCTATCCAGGAAGCCGAGCTCAAGCCCTCAGATTCCTCTGTTTGAGGGAAGCTGCAGAGAGCCCTTTGTTGCCTTCAGATCCCATCCCACTTCTGCAAGGTACTCACTGGTCAGCACTGGCTGCTCGTTGTATCCTGGGAAAAGAGAGAGACAGAGGGTCAGGAGCTGGATGTGGGCCAGGGACAGCACTGGGCGAGGGCTGCCTTGGCAGAGCAGAGGAGGCTGAGGGAGGAGCGCCGCTCACCGTTGACGAAGAGGCTGTCCTTGTCCAGGCTGTAGGGGCCCAGCTGGGTGATGCCTCTGGTCTTGTTGCTCACTTGGTGGTACAGCCCCACCCTGTCCAAAGGTGCAGCCGAGGCCTCCTTGCTGTAGCTGCACACGGCGTCCACCCGCGTCTCGTCCCTGTGGCTGCCTGGCCTGCAAAATACAGGGACCTCCCTCAGCACCCTCCTCTGCCTTTTTTCCTCTCCATCTTTAATCATGGAACCGCCATGGTCATTTCAGAGTGGCAATTTAACATTTGTCTTTCCAAAACTGGGGAATGTGTTTTGTAGCCGTACACTGATCTGCACCTTCAATAACAGCCTTGGCATATTTAGGAAGCAGAGGGCCTGCAAGAACTTTAGGATCAACTTGGGGATTTTGGCCTTTCCAGCTCAAAGAGTTGAGAGAAGGAAGCATGGGGTGTATAGAAGAGAGGTGAATTTGGAAGAAGGTCCCTGGGAAGGATAATGAATTTTCTTGCTCCATAAAGTTGGGGAACATGACAATGACTTGTTCTCTTACATAAACAAAGGGCACAGAGAGGCACACTGGAGAGACACTCATACCTGAAGTCTGTTGTCTCACATCCTTGGAAAACAGGGCCAATGCTGCTTTCCTTCAGCAGGCGGTCCAGCTGCCAAGGGAAATGGTGTCACAGTTAAGGCATGGCAATCTCACTGATTTTCCTCTAAGTAGAGTGAGCCCAGGGAAGACAAGACAATTTCCCAGTGCCGGCCCACTTACCAAGGTGTTCATAACCCTTTGAGTAGCTTTGAACTTGGCCGAGTCAGGATTCTCCAGGTCGGAAGTGTAGGGAAGGTTGGTGATGGTGAAGTTGACGGTGAAACGCTCAAGGGCAGCAGCTGTCGTTGTTGGTAGGTGGGTGGGAGCTGGAAGAATCACAAATGGGGAATGACCATGGGCAAGAGGCTCAGATTATGATATTCATTAATATATCTGTCATTATAGAAATAGACCTTTATATGCAAAGGTGTGATTTCATTTGGAAATTGGATGGTAAGGGAGGTAGACAAAATATAAAGTTGTGTCAAGGCTCTGGATAATTAATCACAGAGTTCAGAGTTCACTCCTGGCTGTCATGGGGTTCCCCATCCATGCAACATTTGTCCTTGTTCTGTATTCAATGTTATGGGTTTTTTATTCCTCATCTGAATTATGATTGTTTACTTTTACTTTTAAAATGCATATATTAGCATTTTTTTCATTTTAGTTTTACCAGGTATTAGGAGTCAATATGTAGCTAATTATATACCTGTTAAACAATTATCTCAATATTATACTAGTATAATTTTCCAGTGAAATACTTTGTATTCCAGCACAGTAACAGTGAATTTGCATTGGAGAAAAATAAACCACTTCGGCATTTTATGCCTTTTAATTGACATTGCCAATGTAGGCAAACAATTGATAAAAATAGAAATATAAAAAAAAACCAAAAATACCTGAATGGTTACCTAATTTTAAAAAATTAAAACGCAGTCAAATGATGCAGTCATATTTCAGAAGATACGGCAATGATAATTGCAAGAAAAATTACAAAATTAAGGAACAATTGAAAAAATATATTTAGAAAGGCAGTCTTTGGACATCATGTGATTTAAAAAAAAAACAAACAAAGGTGTACTTATGTTACTATTGAAGGAACAAAAAAATTGAACAAACTTATTCAATTTTCATAAGAATTAGAACTCACTGGGTTTGAAAGGAAGCTGGGAAGTCGTCACTGAAGGTGATGTGCTCGAAATTTCTGTTCTGGAAAAAACTGTAGAGCTTGTCGAAAGTGGAAAGGTCTCCGGCCAAACTGAAGAGGCTGAAGCTAAAAACTCATGGTGTACTGTAGAGTGGACTGCAGTAGTGGTGACATCAGACTTGGTGGTGGTGGACACAATGCTGGAGGTTTCGCGGGCAGCAGAAGTAGAGGCTGTCTCAAACCTGGTGCTGGTGATGGGTGCAGTTGTGCTGAGTGTTGGGGAAGTGATCTCTGGAGTAGAGCTCAGAGGAAGAGAAGAGGTCATGGCAGAAGTTGGGCTTGTCCCAGGAGTAGAGGATGATGTTTGTGCGAGGACAGTGGTGGTCGCGGTTGTTTCTGATGCTTCAGTGGTCACCTGGCTAAGAGTGGATGTTTCAGCAGGGCTGGATTGGATGGGAGTGGTGGCTGAAGTCCTCAGGCTGGAGCTTTCTGCTGTGCTCGACAACATTGTGGAGGTTGTCACAAGTGGAGACGTCTCTGTCAGAACAGAAGAAGCTGAAGTCGTAGACTCAGGCACAGATGTGGACTCCACAGCCGAGGTGGTGCCTTCAGTCCTGGTCGTGGTGGACACAGTGGTGGACTCAATGGTGGATGTGGCCAGAGTTGCAAAAGTTGAGGTCGACTCAAACCTGGTGCTGGTGATGGGTGCAGTTGTGCTGAGTGTTGGGGAAGTGATCTCTGGAGTAGAGCTCAGAGGAAGAGAAGAGGTCATGGCAGAAGTTGGGCTTGTCCCAGGAGTAGAGGATGATGTTTGTGCGAGGACAGTGGTGGTTGCCGCTCTTATCTCTGTTACTGGGACCGGAATTAAGTCAACAGGGGATATTGCAGCAGGGCTAGATTGGATGGGAGTGGTGGCTGAAGTCCTCAGGCTGGAGCTTTCTGCTGTGCTCGACAACATTGTGGAGGTTGTCACAAGTGGAGACGTCTCTGTCAGAACAGAAGAAGCTGAAGTCGTAGACTCAGGCACAGATGTGGACTCCACAGCCGAGGTGGTGCCTTCAGTCCTGGTCGTGGTGGACACAGTGGTGGACTCAACGGTGGATGTGGCCAGAGTTGCAGAGGTAGAGGTCGACTCAGACTTGGTGCTGGTGATGGATGCTGTTGTGCTGAGTGTTGGGGAAGTGATCTCTAGAGTAGAGCTTCGACGGAGGCTAGAGGAGGCGTGCACATGCTCGGGATTCTCATTGGTTCTGGATTGCATTGTACTCTCTGCTGACTTTGTAGTTGTATTCTCTGGATTCAATGTGAATTGTGTAGTATATTTGGGAGATATTGTGGTGTGTGTTTTCCCATTACTGTCTTGCGTCTGTGAATTTCCTGTAATAGAAATTGATTTTCCAGGTGTGCTTTTTTTTTTAAATTCTCATGTTCTTTATTCGCTATAATATTCAAAGAACTTCCTGGTCATCTACTCTTTATTTAAATAATTTTTTACTGTATTTTTTCTGTTTTCACTAAGTCACACTTTGCAGGTTTCTTTCATCTAGTTTTTTTTGGAAATGTGTCCCTATATTTACTTTTCATTGGATATTATTGAATGAAGGGTCTGAAGAATCGTTTTCTGATCTGTAACTGCCTTATATAATCTTAATGTAAAGTCACAGCATGATTTATGTTGGAACGAATCCAGAAAATCCTTTTGTTCCATCCCCTTGCATTGGCAGGTACATCTTCCATTATCCCAGGTTGCTCCAAATCCTATCCAACCTGGCCTTGGACACTTCCAGGGATCCAGGGGCAGCCACAGCTGCTCTGGGCACCCTGTGCTACCCCCCTTACAGGGAACAATTGCTTCCTTACATATATTCCTTATAAATCAACCCTCTCTAAGCTTGAAGGCATTTCCACTTGTCCTGTCCCCCATCCCATGTACGAAGTCCCTCTCCAGGTCTTGGAGCCCTTTTAGGTCCTGGGAGGATCTCTAAGGTCTCCCTGGAGCCTCCTCTTCTACAGGCTGTGCCATCCCACTAGCCTGAGCCTGGCTCCATATGAGAGCTGCTCTGTCCTTCTGCTTGGCAGCCTCCTCTGGACTCAGTCCAGCAGGCTGAGTGATCACTGGACCTTTACCCCTTCAACAATGGTGTTATCACAAAACCTCTTGCACCTTATCTGTTCCTTCATGGGCTCAAATCAAGAGACATGTCCAGCTGGAGGTCCTCTGAAGAGATTCTCAGGAGAACAATAAAACCAGAGTGTTCTTTGCAGCTGAACATGTGCATTCACATGTGCAAGGTATCCCAATTTCCTCCACTGCTCTTTGGAAGAGCCATTCATTTTTTTTTTCTGAATCATTTGAATTCTAATCCTGTCCTCCAAAATATTTGCAAGATTCCTAACTTTTATCATTCCATAGATAAACTTTCAAATTATTTAGGAGAAACTGTTCCTAAGGTGGACAACTGATGGCATTTAAAATGTAATCTCACTTACTGCTAGGCGTTATTTGTTACAGATTTTTTTTAATCCAAGTTTTTTCATCCAAACCCAGTAAAGAGCAGTAACAGCCATCTGTGAGGATTTGCCTCTACCCTCGATTATTTCTTCTTTTAGGGAAATGTTGTCAATCACTGTTAAAATCTATTCTCTGATTAAATTCTTAGTCCAGCTGAGGGTTTCCCTTTGGCTAAAACCTTTTGTCGAAATGGAAATTAAATCAGACTCTACAAATTTGTTCCTTTTCTTACTTCTTAACACTTTTTTATTTTATATGGACTTGTTATTTTTTAGTAATTAGTTTTAAGATTCTTCTGCTTTTTGCAGTAAAGTTAGTTAGCAGAGAACTCCCCAAACTCCTTCATTTGCAATGAGAAATCACGTTCCTACCCAGCCCCATCTTTTTCATGTCCCCAGTGTTCCATGGAAAAGACTGTTCAGAGTTTTCTGGAACAGCTTCTGAAGAACACTGAGATGTTTCAGAATTTAAATATATATTTCACTGAGGGATATCAGCCATGTCTGTAATTTCCAGATTTCGAAGCAGCAGTAGATACCTTAGTAGGTGAACACAGGGGTCAAGAAAAACACTCTGAACAAGTCCAACATTTTTCAAAGTACTCTGAACAAGTCCAACATTTTTCCAGCTGCTTTTTATGTAAGAATTACATATTCATACTCTGTTTTTTTCAAGCTTTCTGGATTGGCAACACCTAAAAAAATCTGTTATTCATCCATGGCTCTTTCAGTGACGACAACACAATAGCCGTGGGTTTGTCACCCCAATTAAATTCCCCTGCTCCCATGAGGTGCACACAAATGTTCCAAACCATCTCTATGGTGTGGTTCTTAGGAGGGGCTCATTCTATTAATAATCTGTCACTGGAATCACACCCAGTCTTTCCCCTGTCAGGTTGGTTGTGTCACTTCAGAAGATTCTCTTCTGGTAAAGCATTCCAGGCTTGTTAGTAATGCTTGGGCTTGACACCCACCAGGAAATGAGCAGGGCTGGCATCCTGCCTCGGGTAGTGCCGTTAGGAGAGGAAGGATGGGGAGAGGGAGACAGGGACTCTGACCAAGCTCTTTCAAATGTAAGGAATCACTATCATGTCCCAGCATCCTCACAAACAACTTCATGGGACCATGGAATCACAATTTAGCCACAGTTTAGCTCCTCCCTGCCTTAAAGCCCATCTTGTTTCATCCCTACCTTCCACTATCCCAGGTTTCTCCAAACCCTGTCCAGCCTGGCCTTGGACACTTCTAGGCCACAGGATAGGGCAGCCACAGCTGCTCTGGGCACCCTGTGCCAGGGCCTTTTCACCCCCTGGATTTTTCCCTAATATCTCACCTCTATCACTTTGAAGACATTCCCCCTCATCCAGGCCCTTGGAAATAGTCCCCCCTCTCTCTCTCCATCTTTCTTGTTGGCTCCCTTCAGGTTCTGGAAGGGTCACCCCAAAGCTTCTCTTCTCCAGACTGAGCAACCCCAATTCTCCCAGCAGGGCTGTCCTATCCCTTTAATCCTCCTGGTGCCTCCTCTGCACTCTCTCCTGTGCTGGGACCCCCAAGCTGGAGGCAGCTCTGCAGGTGGGGTCTCACCTGAGCCAGGCAGAGTCACACCAAACATCTTTGTCATCACAACTCACCGTCTGGACAATGGAAGGGAAGAATTTCTGTGGGGTTTTTGCAGGTATTTATTCTACCTGCAGTCCCTGAGTTTGCTGTGCACCCACCTGGAGACACCTGCACTGTCAGGGGCTGTGTGGCCACCTGGACACTGTGCCAAGCAAAGCACTGAGCTCTCAGCAGGACTTGTCACCTGTGATCCAGAGCAAGGCCCAGCTCTGGCTGTTACATACAAAAATAAAAATAGTCTCTTCCCCGTTCCTAAATCCTTGTTGTCTTTCTGGATTCCAGACTCAATCAAGTGATAATCTGGTATTTTGTGCATGCTTAGGAAACAGCAGAATATTATAAATAACAGGTGTGGTAATATTAATGTTAGAATAGAATGGAAGGTCAAAGGAGACTCAGCGAAAGAAAGGGGCAGCCAGTGTGGCAATGAGTAAATTGGTAGTAGCTCCTCAAGCTTTGTTTTTACTCACAGACCTGTCCTTGTCCTTTTAATTCACATTAATTGTCTCAATATTGAACATTGAAGAGATTTCAGAATTAAGGATGTACATAAAAGCACTGGAGAGCCAGGACACAGGGAATGACTTCCCACTGCCAGAGGGCAGGGCTGGATGGGATATTGGGAAGGAACTGTTCCCTGGGAGGGTGGGGAGGGATGGAATTCCCAGAGCAGCTGTGGCTGCCCCTGGATCCCTGGAAGTGTCCAAGGCCAGGCTGAATGGAGGCTGAAGCACCCTGGGATAGTGGAAGGTGTCCCTGCCATGGCAGGGGGTGTAATGGGATGGGTTTAAGTCCTTTGTGATACAAACCATTCTGTGCTATAATATATATATATATATATATATATATGTATATGTATATATGTATATATGTATATATATATAAATGTAAATGCAAATGCAAATATAAATGCAAACACATAAGAATAAAAATAAAAATAAATATATATATGTATATTTAAAAATAGATATTTCTTATTTTAAAAAGGGCACAAATATCTATAAATGTCAGTAATACATAGGGTTTTTCCTAAAATGTGTAATACTGGAATCACTGTACCTTGGTATATTAATATTTTTATATATTATTTTCTATATTAACATATGTATTATTTGCTATATAAACATCTAGAAAATTGTTAAATTCCTTTTTTTTTCTGTATTACCTGGAGGTTTTAAGCCATTCCTGGCCTTGCCTAATAGACTTGTTAGGAGGGATTTTTCAGAATACTGAAAGAGGGGACCAAACACTCCCCTGGCAGAGGGATCTGGGGATCTCTGTTTCCCACCTCTCTCTATCCCAAACTCTGGGAAGCAACCTGGAACCACACATTTCTAACACTAATTGGATATATTCATATTTAAGCAGCAATTTTGCAGACATTAAAATATTCACATTGAACTGCAAACTCTAGAATTAGTGACCCTTGCCTTTCTAAAGGAATATTTGGTAAATCCACCAATAATTCACCAAATTACCAAAGTTCCCTCACTTCAAAGCAGCAGTAATTTCCTGATCCCAGTCAGAAATTCCTAACAGGAATTTCCATGCTCTACATCAAAGCTGCTTTTCTCTTGCAGTGCAGGGGGTAAAGTGGAATATTTTCACGTCCACCTGCACTTAAAATCTGGCTCTGGGTGGGAATTCTCATGCAGATTTCTATTCACTAGCTCAAAGAAAAGCAGCCTGAATCTTACCAAGATATGGTAAATGAATTGAATTTAATATAATTTTATTAATAATAAAAACTCAAATGTTTTTGAGCCCATATTTATAACAATGTTTAGCTCCACTGTTTCCCCTCTAATTGAGAATTAAAACAGCCTTAATTGCCTTTAATTTAAAACTAATTTCAATTAAGCTGCTGGTTGTGTGAACAAAGACATTTTATATGTTGGTACCAATGCACTTAAAATGTCTCTAGTAATTTGAATTAATTAATTAATTAACTCTAGGAGAGTTCTGTAAGTCACTGGCAGTTCAAGTCCTAAGTGTCCTTTTCATTCCAGAAAATGTAATTTATAAACCTTTGAGTAACCACTACCACCAAATTGCTTTTCCATATAGAAATCATGTAATTCCAGCTCAATTAAAAAAAAAAAATTACATTTTAGATTGTTAAATGCCTTCTAGATTTTAAACTCAGAGACATTTCTAAAGCTAATTTTCTTGTCATAAGAAATACAATTTCAGAGACTGAAGCACTCCAGACCCTCTGTCATTTCATTGCCATTAATAATGTCATTTATATCCACTTTTTCAAAAAATACACAACTGGAAAATATTGTAAAATTCTCCAAACACTTTTAGTTTGATTATTTTCTATTAACAATTATGATATGGATTCCTCCCCCCCTTTTTGATTTCAAAACTCAGCTGAGGAATGTAGATGAGCCGTCTGTAAAGTAAATATTAACGTCTCATTCATCTCTTTTCAGAAAACAAAATTAACTTTGTGTCCTAAAACAAATGTTGCAATTTATATTTCAGCTTTTGCTACATTAAATTAGATCAGCTCAGCTTGGGCAATTCCTCTGTATTTATATTCAACAAATCTAAAAAATAAATGTTGTCCTCTCTCTTATTTCTTTCTTTTAACTGATGAGTAGAAGTGCTAAAAATTTGCAAGACCATGAGCAAGATCAGCCCATCACTCCAAAGTGATTTGGGGTTTTTCAGTTGTATCACAAATTCTGGATAGATTTAATCATCAGTGTTGTTTGAAGTGATTAGATGGGAATAAAACCCGTTTTGTTTTTAGTTTTAGTGATCATCATTTAATTTACAAAATCTGTTCAACTGTACAAAAATACACTGAGTTTTTCTAATAAAAAAGTAAATTAGATAATTTTTTTCAATTAAATAATTTAATAAATTGAGTACTCAATAAGTTAAATAATTAAACAAATTTTACTTACCGAAAGAGCAGCACAATACAACGATAACACACAAAACCTTCATCTTAAAAGGGGATAAATTTATCATCCAATCCATCCTTTTTTTTCCTTACAAGATTAGAATTTTCTGGCAAGATTAGGAATTTTCCCAAATTCCCTTCAGGACCTGCAGCTCTGGGCAGAGCAGGAGTGACCCTCACACGAGAGGGGACAAGGTGAGTGTGATGGTCAAGGGGGAAATGCTCTTAAACTCCAGCCCCTTGCATAATGCCAAGCCTTGGTGGAGGTTTGGGCCACACCTGTACCTGACAGCCCCGAGGATTTTCAAATTAGAGCCTGGTACTTTCCCTCTAGGGAAGGTAAATAAGAAACTCTCTGCTTGAAAAGGTCAGCGGGAGTGAATCTGAGCATGAAATGAGCAGGAATGGAGACAGGTCTACACCCTTGAAGGCCACAATCACACATTCATCTCGCAGATATTTAAGTTCAGGGTGGACACGGAGACAGGAGTTTGGCTGGGCTTTGAGTTTACATTTCAGTCGCACAAGTCGGGTCTGAATGGCGAGCAAACATTTCCTGAGGCTCTTTGTGGAGCAGCAAGAGCCTGGGGTGATTGGTATGAGAAGCCCATTGGGCTCATCCTTCCTTCCCAGCACTCATTCCTCGGGTACATCCATTGCCAAAACTGCAAACTGACAGCTTGGCACGGTCTCAGCCGTCCCCTGGGGTTTCTCCCCTGGAGAATGGGCAAAGGGATTCAGGAGAACCTCTCTGAGGGGATGCCCAGGGGTAAACCTGTGGATAAAGTGGCAAAATCCAGCAAATCCACGTGTGGCTTTTGCAGATCCATGGAGTAGTGGGTAAAGTTGAAGGAGGAACTGCCACACTCCTGAACCCAGTTGAGAATTAAAAAGGTTTCCAATTATTTTGAGCCATCACCAATATGGAGTTTGATGCTTTATCTTTTTAATTCTTGATCAGGATTGATCAACAGGTGAACAGACTGTCTTTGGGTTTGGGTTCCCTCATCCCCTTGTTCCTGTTCTCTTTCCAGAATCCTGCTCCTCTTTCCTCTCACACCTCTTCCAAACCCAACATTTCTTGTTCAAGGTGAACCCAGGAAAAATAAAAACATTCCTATTTGCATTTTCCATCACTTTTTATTTAATTCTCACTAAACCCTGCACTCAGGAAAGGCAAAAAACTTTTTTTCATCCCTGACAGAGAGGCTTCATCTCCAGCTCAGTTACAGGTTTAGAGGGACAGTTTTCCACAAAGATGGCTGAAGAAAAGTAAATGTTTGTCTGGATGACCTGGAAGTTCTCTGGAAATCAACTCTAATTCACTCAGCTGGAGGTTTTTATGAGTTATTAATTAAATGTTTAGTTTGATTGGATTGAAAAGTTATTTTATACTTGTACAACTTGTAGGGGACAGTTCTGTTTTGAATACCCAAGGGTTTTTTTGTAAATGATGGAGATAATTTATATTAAAAATACCTTTTTCACAGGTAAAGAACCATTAAACACTGGTTTATATGGCATATACATTAATAACAAAATTAATACAAATTCAGTTTTCCTAACTGAGGAACTAAATAGGTTTTAGAAGCCTGGATTCATTCACGTAAATGTTATTTCTCTGTAAAATTTCTATGATACAAAGACCCTCTTCATTGCTTGGATAACACAGAAAGATTAAAAGTTCCTCCCAGAGTTGCTGAAATTACCTCAAGCACACCTGTCACGATGTGAGGGACTGACGTGCACCCGCTCCTGCCTGGTTGTGCAAGAACTGGGTAAATTGAACATCCTTGACCTTTCCTCAAGTGTTACTAAGGGAGAAACAATTTGTGATTCACGACTCATTTCTGCCTGGGTCGCCTCTTTGACGTGATCTGTCTTTGGCTTCGTTTTCCTGCATAAAAAAAGGTTGAAAAATCGGAGGGGAGGGGAAAAATCATCCCAACTTTAGGGAGAAATCATCCCAGCTTTGGGGAGAAATCATCCCAGCTCTGGAGGTAAATAAACCAGATGTAAATAAAATAGTAAAATTGAAACAAAGGAGCTTTGAGGATGATTCTGGGGGTCTCCAAGGTTAAGCCAAAAGGCACAACCCCCCTGTTTTCACTTGGAATTTTAAGTACAAGCAGCCCAGTTGACTCTGCTCAAACTCCCAGATGGAAGAGCTCCACACACACCTGCACCAAGAGGGAGGCCTGATACTGTTAAAAATTAAGATTTCAATTAATTTTTGCAGGCAAAACCTCCTCACAGCAGTAGGTTCTATCCCAAACACCTTTGTGATATAAAGGGGATGAAATGAGAGCAATTGAAACAAAAGCTGCTCTTTCATGATGTCTCTGCAGCCACCTTTACATAACCCAGCATTGTTTCCCTTTATCAGAACTGGGTGTTTGAACCTCCCTGGGAGGGACACCTGACACACTCCTGACTTCACCCAGTAAATGAAAGTGAAGGGAAAGCTCTCACTGCTTTGGGAGGAATGCAGCACCTTAAGCTGTGGGTTAATTTATAATTTCTTTTTTAAACCTGCTGTTTGAACCAGGAAGTAACTTCCTTAGGAGAACTTCAGTCTGAAACAGGGAAAATTCCTGCACTTGTGCTGCTGGGGCAAAGGAAAGCTCAGTATGAAGTAGCTTGAGAAGGAATTCATAACAGCTTTCATTCTTTGTCTGTCCCGTGTCAATGAATGCTCGCTAAACTCTGATTGATTTATCAGGTTTTACCAGTTGGTTTTGTAACCAAATACTTCCTTCTGCTGGCATTAACCGAGAACTGCATTTGAAATCCAAAATCCAGCCACCCCAGGGCTGTGGAAGGAAGTGGTTGCAGGAGAGTATTTTGTTCTCATTTAGAAGGAAGGTTGTGGAAGAGTATTTTATTTTCATTTACTTCTGCATTAGGGCTCGCTCTCAGAGTGTCACTGCTGTCTGAACAGAAATCCTCCCAGCAGCTCCTCTGCCAGGCGTGCCCCACACCCAAACCCACCTGTGACGCAGGTGACTCCCTAAAATTTGAACATGTCAGCCTTGGAAGCTGAAAGGAGAATTTGGATGATGTTTCCTGTGAGTGGATGCTCAAACAAAAACCTTTGGCTGTTGAATGACCCCAACATCCCTGGGTGTGCATGGGGAGAATCCAGAGCCTGCAATGGAGAACTGAAGCAATTCCATGGCCCAGAGGGAGTTTCTGAGGGAGTAACCAGACACAGATAACGCACCACAGAGGAAAAGTGTCCAGAAAACCGTGTGAAATCTCCCTGGTTTAAGGGGTATGAACACATTTCAGGTGCCACTGGGAGAGGAGAGAAAACATTCCTGAGGACATAGCTCAGTGGATCCCAGAATGGGCTGGGTTGAAAGAAACCTAAAATACAATCTCATTCCTCAAGCTGCCATGGGCAGGGACACTTTCCACTAGAAGGATGATGATTTGCCCCCAGATAAACTGTTTCAAACACTAAATAAAATAAAAGAATCAGCTGAACACTTAATAAATCCATAAAAGCCCTCACCTGACACAATGTTGTGCAGCCAGGACAGGACATCTGTCCCAGAGGTGATCCTGGAGTTCAGTGGCCTCTTGCACTCAGTCCTCGTGTTCTGAGTGGGTCTGGGCAGCCCCCTGGGGCCAAGGAATGAGGGGGTCCCTCCAGGATTCCCAGTGTCCCCAGTGTCAGGTGCCACCAGACCTGTCAGTGCCCACAGGGAGGCTGCAGAAGGGTCCCAAGTTCTGCTCCTCCTGTGCTGGGGACCCTGGGCTCTGGCACTGATGGAGATGTGCCGGTCTGGAAGGGGAGAAGATCCTTCAGCATCAGGAGCTGCAGCAGGGGGAGGCTGGGGAGGGTCCCCACTGTCACCCTGGTGCCGGAGGGACAGCGATGCCTCTGCCCTTTGTGTCATGGGGGACTTTGGGCCAAGCACCAGTGAGGGGTTGAGGGGCTGTGGGACCAACCCATCCACGGTGCTTTCCCCAAGGACAGGGGACCAGGGCTGAAATCTGTCACCCAGGGCTGTCCCTGTGCCTGTTCCAGACCCGCAGTTCTCCTCTGACACTGCCACAAATCCCAGTGAGGGGGGTTTGGCCTCTGGCAGCTTCTCCCTGATCACTGCCGGGTCCTTCACGCCGAGCACCAACCTCCTGAGACCTGCTGGGAAACAGAGAGGGCTCAATAACCAGCAGAAATTAAAGGATTAGGAATACGAGGAGAAAAATTCTGAAATTTTTTTTTTCAATTAATTAATTTATTTAATTAATGACAAAGGCTGCTGGCACTGCCCAGGCTCCCCAGGGAATGGGCCCGGCCCCAAGGCTGCCAGAGCTCCAGGAGCGTTTGGACAGCGCTCTCAGGGATGCTCAGGGTGGGCTTGTTGGGGGCTCTGGGCCCTGTGGGATACAGCTCAGGATATTTTGGGATTTTGTGTGATTTTGGAGTTTCTGGGGAGATTTGAGCTTGCTGTTTTTCTTTTGGGATCGATCTGCTCCAAACACAGCCATTGGATGTAGCAGAGCCAAGACTGTTCCAGCCAGGGACTCGAATCCCCCTTCCCCAAGGAATCCTCCAGTATCAGGAGAGGGATCTCCCACATTAGAGGGAGCAGCTCCTCCTCAGCCTCACAGGAGACAGAGGCTTCTCTGCAATAATTTACATATTTATAGAATCATAGAAAGAATTGAGTTGGAAGGGACCCTAGAGCTCATCCAGTCTCACTCCCTACCATGGGCAGGGACACCTTCCACTATCCCAGCTTGCTCCAAGCCCCATCCAACCTGACTGGATTTAAACTATTTTTTTGTTTGTTTTATAATCTCATGTAAAGAGTTTCTCTTTTTGCTTTTTTTTTTCTTTTTTCTTACCATTCTGAATTTTCACCTCATAGCTGTTGCTTTAGTCACCTAATTCTAGCATTTTAAGATGTCAGTTATTGGTAGAACCTTTATGTGAGAGAAATTTGGGGGGTTTAGGGCTTTAAAAATAAAATGAAACCTTTTTCCTGGGAGTTATTTCCTACACCACAATAATTCTTATATTATTGTATTCCTAGACTCAACTGCAGTTTTTCCCCTGAGTGCTGGAGCATCAAGACCAGTTTATGTAGGAAGAAATTTCAGGAACATTTTTTTTTCTTGTGCTCAATTCTCAGATATCAGATATTTGCAGTCAGGGGAAAAGAAATCACTGCAGATAATGGGTTTGGGTTTTGTGCTTATTCAAATAATGGAATTTGGGCACAATCACAGCAAGTGTTAAAAAGTGTCTCCCTGAACTCTTTCTAGAAAAAGTTTGGGCCTCATTGCTGCCTGATGCAGCTACATTCATGGAATCATGGGATGGTTTGGGTGGGAAAGGACCTTAAATCCCACCTCATTCCACCCCTGCCATGGCAGGGACATCTCCCACCATCCCAGGCTGCTCCAAGCCCTGTCCAGCCTGGCCTTGGACACTGCCAGGGATCCAGGGGCAGCCACAGCTGCTCTGGGCACCCTGTGCCAGGGCCTGCCCACCCTCCCAGCCAACAATTCCTGCCCAATATCTCACATAAATTTCTCTTTTTTCAGTTTGAAAGAGATTTGGAAGATTCAGGTCTCCTTCTTCTAGGTACCCAGAGGGAAAAATAGCAAGGACAACTTCCAATTCCAAAGGATCCAGTGCATGTGTGACTGTGCCACCCCTGTCCCCTTTAACAGCTTTGAAAATACACAGCAAACCTCCCCTCCCACCACAGGGAATATACTCAAGTCTTTACTATTTGGGATTTTTTTCATCCCCAAAATAATCCACAATAATTAGAAACTGTTTAATTACCTTCTGCCTTGAATTCCTGCCTCTGCACCGCATGCACGTGCAGGTACAGATATTTTTCAAGAAATTTTGAATGCATTCTGCTAATATTAATCCCATAATATAAATGTATAATATACATATAAAATATAAAAATATTTATACATAGATTTGACATATAAATGCACATTCATAATTCCCTTTAAAAAAATTTTCAATCCCCCCACACCTCAATTAAAATTTCAGTTTCCCTGGAGCATTCCATGAAAAAATTACCATAAGGTCCATCCTACCTGTTGCTGTGCACAGGCTGAAATAAAATGCCAGGACTAGGAATATATTTTGTGTCAAATATATCCCAGAGCAACATTTCCAAGTCATGTTTTTGCCTTGAGACTCCTTGTCCAAGTGAAAAGTTGTTCCGGGCTCCTCACAACTCTGCTCCCTCTGCAAGCAAATTCCAAATGTTATGGAAGTCACTCAGGTAATGCAAGCTGAGGTGGGTTGGCTGAGCAGCTGACACACCTTAAACCCTCCTTAGTTTGGGAAGTTGTTGTTATCTGGGCAGAACTGGGGGCCCAGTGGGTTGAACTAGAGGTACAAAAATGCACTTTGGGTTGGGAATCCAGTTCAAAACCTCAGGAGCAGCCACATCGCCTGGATGTAAGGCTCTGTTTGGGGAAATTTCGGGTGTAAAAATAGGGTTGTGGCAACATTAATGGAAAAGCATTTGGATTTTAAATCAGTAAATAAATATTGGGGTTAATGGGATGAATTCTGGGCAATGAGTTGACCTCCAACAGCAGCATTACCATTACTGACCATGAGAAAATGTGTTGGTGACAAAAAATAACTGTGGGAGAAGACCCAGCTGGTCACTCAGGGGGTCTCTCTCCCCAAAAACCTCTCCCAGAGCATGTGGAGATGATTTGGCTTTGCAGGAGTAATCCCTCACGCCATTTTTTCCTCAAGTAAAGGAAATTGCTAATGAAAAAAAATATTCCTGAGTGATTTTGTGATTAAAATCCAACTCAAACAGACTTGGGACAGAAATGTGCTGAGCCAGGGATCCTGGAGGAGATTGGGATGCTCATCACCTCCTCTCCTGCTCCATTCTGACCACAGAGGGATTAATTGGGATGAGTTCCACAACAGAAGCTGCTTTTCCTCCTGATTTCCAGCTTTGCAATGAACCCACTGGGCTGTGACTCCCTCTGGCCCTGCTCCAGGGGATCTTCAGGTACCTGAATGTCCCAGCAGTGCCTGGAGATGTTCAAATGTGTCCTTTGGGGCCACAGTGAGCTCACTGATCTCATTGCATACCCAAGTGATGCCGGTAAACACAAACCTTAAACCTGATCACGTCCCTGCTGCCCTAATTAGGCAGAGATTCTGCAAAGGCAGCTTTTTCAGAGAGAAGAAATTAAATTATAGCTGGGAAACGCTCAGAGTTTGTTTGCAGAGAGAAAAATGAATCTCATAGGTTATCACAGAATGGTTTGGGTTGGAAGGGACATTAAAGTCACCCAGTGCCACCCCTGCCATGGCAGGGACACCTTCCACTGTCCCAGGCTGCTCCAAGCCCCGTCCAGCCTGGCCTTGGGCACTGCCAGGGATCCAGGGGAAGCCACAGCCTCCCTGCACCAATCCTTCAGCACCTCACAGCCAACAATTACCCATAACCCATCTCCCCTTCTTCACCTTAAATCCATTCCCCATTTCCCATCAAGTTCTATTATTTAATATTTGACACAGAGAGGATTTGCTGTCTGGAGCTGCTCTTTGGGCAAAGCCTGGCTTTGTCCCCATGTCCCTGCTCCGTGCCTGCTCTGCTCAGCCAAACCAAACGGGGTCTCACCTTGCACATCCTGTGGGCCACTAGATGCCATCCTAAACCTCAGAAAACAAAGCAATAAAACATGTGGAAATAAAAGACAACATAAATCACAAAAGATTAATTAAAGCTCAGGTATTTTTAAAGCTGAGCCAGCAGCTTCTTTCAGGATTGGCTGTCCTGTACTTGCACCCTCATGAGTTTGGTGTGGTTTTTCTTGCTGGATTTGCTGCTGATGGAGCAGCTCTGCTGTAAGGAAAGGCTGAAGGAATTGGGATGGTACAGCCTGGAGAGGAGAAGCTTTGGAGTGAACTCATTGTGGCATTCCTGGGAGCCTGCAATAAATATGGAACAAGAAAGAGACTGTTTGAAAGGGCCTGGAGGGACAGGACACAGGGAATGGCTCCCAGTGCCAGAGGGCAGGGCTGGATGGGATATTGGGAAGGAATTGTTGGCTGGGAGGGTGGGCAGGCCCTGGCACAGGGTGCCCAGAGCAGCTGGGGCTGCCCCTGGATCCCTGGCAGTGTCCAAGGCCAGGCTGGACGGGGCTTGGAGCAGCCTGGGATGGTTTGAGGTGTCCCTGCCCTGCACTGCCCCTACCCGGGCTCCCTTTGATGAGATAATTCAGCAGCACCTTAGTTCCACCGGGAATTGTTGTAGTTTCACAGCAGAGCACTGAAAACCTTTCCCTCTGCCCATTCCCTTCTGCCTTGCTGTTTAACTACAGATTAAATTCCATCCTGAATCCATTCCTTCTCATGAAGGCTGCCAAGGGGTAGAGACTGAAGTCACACCGAGCACTTTGGGGCATGAGGGAGAAGGGAAAGCCAAGAAGGTGCAGAGCTCCCAGGCCTTCCCTCCTTAGCAACATGGAAACACAAAGGCCTTTGTGGGAGGAGTGCAGGGAGAGGTCGGGCCTTGTCACCACGCAGCAGGAAAACACAAAGTGTTGGGGCTTTGTTGGAGCAATTGAGAATGAAAGGGGCAAACATTTATCAGAAGGAAAAAGCAACAAGGAAAAGAGGCTCAGTCAGCTGTGCTGGGCTTTATAAGGAGGTTTTCGGGTATATTTTACAACCAGAATTTACAGACTTAACTAAAAATGGTCACCACCAGATGAGGAGGATCCAAAGCTGTTGGAGACTGTCCAGAGGAGGGACACGGAGCTGGAGAAGGCTCTGAGGAGCAGCTGAGGGCACTTGGCTCGTTCAGCTGGAGCAGAGGAGACTGAGGGGAGGCTCCTCGGGGGCTGCAGCTCCTCCCGAGGGGAGGTGGAGGGGCAGGGGCTGAGCTCTGCTCTGGGACAGGGACAGGAGCCCAGGAAGGGCTGGAGCTGTGCCAGGGCTTGGGATGGATCTCAGGGCAAGGTTCTTCCCCCCGAGGCTGCTGGCACTGCCCAGGCTCCCCAGGGAATGGGCCCGGCCCCAAGGCTGCCAGAGCTCCAGGAGCGTTTGGACAGCGCTCTCAGGGATGCTCAGGGTGGGCTTGTTGGGGGGTCTGGGCAGGGCCAGGGGCTGCACTGATCATCCCTGAGGGTCCTTTCCACCTCAGGATATTCCACAGTTCTATGATTCAATTTAAAAAACTCAAGGGACCTAGCAAACCTCATGTTCAGCTTGTGAAACCAGAGCTTGGTTCTTGTTCCCCCTTAAGCCCAGCTGGTGCAGTGGCAGATTCAGGTCAGCTGGGGACAAGGCAAAGCACGGCCCTGGTGACCATCCCTGGGCCAAAGCCCAGCCTTGAGCATGTCAGTATTCTAATTCAGTGAGGCTTCAATCCCTCCATAATTAAACATCTAAACATCTTTGAAGTGCTCTACTGAAAACATATCTTTAAAATCAGGATCCTACTGGTGATTTTATAATTTATTAGGACCATATGATCATTGAATGGCCTGGGCTGGGAGGAATCTTAAAGACAACCACGTTCCACCCCCTGCCATGGCAGGGACACCTCCCACCATCCCAGGCTGCTCCAAGCCCCGTCCAGCCTGGCCTTGGACACTTCCAGGGATCCAGGGGCAGCCACAGCTGCTCTGGGCACCCTGTGCCAGGGCCTGCCCACCCTCACAGCCAAGAATTTTTCCCTAATATCCAATTATCCCTGTCCTCTCTCAGTTTGAAGCCATTCCCCCTTGTCCTGTCACTCCAGACCCTTGGAAATTGTCTCTCTCCATGTTTCGTGCAGATGCCCGTGAGGCAAAGGCCACAATGAGGTCACCCTGAAGCTTCTCTTCTCCAGGCTGAACATTCCATTTCTCCCAGCCTTTCCTCTCAGCAGAGCTGCTCCATCCCTCTGAACATCCTGGTGGCCTCATCTGAATTTGCTCCAATTAAGCAGAAGTGAGAAACTCAGGGAGCAGTGACAATTCCCACAGTGGGGGAGTTCCCCTTGGTGCATTCAACCCGGTGATTTCTTCACTCATGGAAAACAGACAGTCAGATTTGATTGGAAAAAACTCTTCATTCCACTCAACTCCTGTAGTACGGAGATTGTGGGATGAATTAGAGCTTTAAATACCACCCTGAGCCTGGCTCTGCACAGCCCCTGCAGGCACAGAGCCAAGGGACAGATTGGGTGACACACGCTGCCGTTGAACAGGCTGATTTTCACACCACCCCCTGCAACCAGCTCCATGTTTGAAGGGTTTTTTCCCAGCATTTTGTGGAATAAATAAAGGTCTGAGTGAATTTGTTTGGAGAAAAATGTAATGGAGATAGCAAAGGTTTGTTTACTTGAAGAACCTCAATGGAAAATACAGCATTTGCGGAGGAGGTTGGGTTATTGTGCCATCTTAAATTCCTAAATCTTTAATTCTTTTCATTCATTTCATAACAAAACATCTCTCATATGGAGGCTTCTCCCTGCCAGCAGTTTTGTTCCTGATTGAATCATTAACCTTGACATCTTTTGTGTAGAACATTAAATTAATCTTTTTGCCGTCATCTGGAATAATTAAAGTAAGGACACTTTGTCTAATGAGTTATAACAGCACAGTTCAAAGGGAGTCTTTCTTTTGTGGCATCATTGAATTAGCTGGATCCTTCCAGTCTGTTCCAATGAAATACAAAATGCCAGCTTGTAGGAGCTGATAGATCCCAGGATTATTACATACCTGACACAGACACTGTGGGAAATTCAGTTCTGCTCTGCAGTTTCAAAGAAGGCCAGGATCCCTCAGCTGATGAGGCCAGTTTTGGGAGGTTCAACAAGGCCATGGGCCAGGTCCTGGCCTTGGGTCACACCATTCCCCTGCAGCTCCAGGCCAGGGGAAGAGGGGCTGGAAAGCTGGAAAAGGTCCTGGAAGAGCTGGTGACGATCACTGAACTTGTGCCAGGTGGTCACTTTCCACCATCCCAGGCTGCTCCAAGCCCCGTCCAGCCTGGCCTTGGGCACTGCCAGGGATCCAGGGGCAGCCACAGCTGCTCTGGGCACCCTGTGCCAGGGCCTGCCCACCCTCACAGCCAAGAATTCCTTCCCAATATCCCATCCAGCCCTGCCCTCTGGCACTGGGAGCCATTCCCTGTGTCCTGTCCCTCCAGGCTTTTGGAAATAGTCTCTGTCCATCTTTCCTGCCAGCTCCTTCAGGCCCTGGATGGTTTCAAGCTGTACCAGGGCAGGCTCAAATATTGGATATTAGGATACATTTTTTCATGGTTTCAAGCACTTAAGAGGTTTCCCAGGGTAGTGGTGGGAATTGTTCAAAAATTGTTCAAAAAAGGTGTGGATGTGGCACTTGGGGACGTGGTTTAATGGTGGCCTTGGCAGTGCAGGGGTAATGGTTAGACTGGATGATCTTAAGGGTCTTTTCCAGCCTTAATTCCATGATTCTATGGCCCTGTTTTATGTTTGTGTCTTAGCTCATGCTCAGGTTCTTCTTGGCCACGTGTTGTCCTTACAGACTACTTCCAACTGGGAATAAATAAATATAGAAAGCAAAGAATTCTCCAAATGCAAGAGTTCAAACAGTATTACAAAAAACTCACTAAGCCTTCCTTGAAATTAATATATGGACTTACATTTCTTGCCTCTTGCAGTTCTTACAACAATCACAGGCTTTAAAAGTATGAGAAGATCTGTCCATACTCTGCTTGTCCTGTTTCACCT